CTTTAATGCAGGGAAATTCCTAATTTCTATCAGCATGTTAAATGTGCAACCAGAGGAAAAAAAACTCTAGACCACCTTTACTCCACACACAGAGACGCATACAAAGCTCTCCCTCACCCTCCATTTGGCAAATCTGACCATAACTCTATCCTCCTGATTCCTGCTTCTAAGCAAAAACTAAAGCAGGAAGCACCAGTGACACGGTTAATAAAAAAGTGGTCAGATGACGCAGATGCTAAGCTACAGGACTGTTTTGCTAGCACAGACTGGAATATGTTCTGGGATTCTTCAGATAGCATTGAGGAGTACATCACATCAGTCACTCGCTTTATCAATAAGTGCATCGATGACGTTGTCCCCACAGTGACCGTACGTACATACCCCAATCAGAAGCCATGGATTACAGGCAACATCCGCACTGAGCTAAAGGGTAGAGCTGCCGCTTTCAAGGAGCGGGACTCTAACCCGGAAGCTTATAAGAAATCCCGCTCTGCCCTCCGACGAACCATCAAACAGACAAAGAGTCAATACAGGACTAAGATTGAATCGTACTACACCAGCTCTGACGCTTGTCGGATGTGGCAGGGCTTGAAAACTATTACAGACTACAAAGGGAAGCACAGCCGCGAACTGCCCAGTGACACAAGCCTACCAGACGAGCTAAATCACTTCTATGCTCGCTTCGAGGCAAGCAACACTGAAGCATGCATGAGAGCATCAGCTGTTCCGGATGACTATGTGATCACGCTCTCCATAGCCGATGTGAGTAAGACTTTTAAGCAGGTTAACATTCACAAGGCCGCAGGGCCAGACGGATTACCAGGACGTGTACTCCGAGCATGTGCTGACCAACTGGCAAGTGTCTTCACTGATATTTTCAACATGTCCCTGACTGAGTCTGTAATACCAACATGTTTCAAGCAGACCACCATAGTCCATGTGCCCAAGGACACTAAGATAACCTGCCTAAATGACTACCGACCCGTAGCACTCACGTCTGTAGCCATGAAGTGCTTTGAAAGGCTGGTCATGGCTCACATCAACACCATTATCCCGGAAACCCTAGACCTACTCCAATTTGAATACCGCCCCAACAGATCCACAGATGATGCAATCTCTATTGCACTCCACACTGCCCTTTCCCACCTGGACAAGAGGAACACCTACGTGAGAATGCTATTCATTCACTACAGCTCAGCGTTCAACACCATAGTGCCCTCAAAGCTCATCACTAAGCTAAGGATCCTGGGGCTAAACACCTCCCTCTGCAACTGGATCCTGGACTTCCTGACGGGCCGCCCCCAGGTGGTAAGGTTAGGTAACAACATGTCTGCCACGCTGATGCGCAACACGGGGGCCCCTCAGGGGTGCATGCTCAGTCCCCTCCTGTACTCCCTGTTTACCCATGACTGCATGGCCAGGCATGACTCCAACACCATCATTAAGTTTGCCGACGACACAACAGTGGTAGGCCTGATCACCGACAACGATGAGACAGCCTATAGGGAGGAGGTCAGAGACCTGGCCGTGTGGTGCCAGAATAACAAACTCTCCCTCAATGTGATCAAGACAAAGGAGATGATTGTGGACTACAGGAAAAAAAAGAGGACTGAGCACGCCCCCATTCTCATTGACGGGGCTGTAATGGAACCGGTTGAGAGCATCAGGTTCCTTGGTGTCCACATCACCAATGAACTATCATGGTCCAAACACACCAAGACAGTTGTGAAGAGGGCACGACAAAACCTATTCCCCCTCAGGAGACTGAAAAGATTTGGCATGGGTCCTCAGATCCTCAAAAAGTTATACAGCTGCACCATCGAGAGCATCCTGACTGGTTGCATCACCGCCTGGTATGGCAACTGCTCGGCCTCCGACCGCAAGGCACTACAGAGGGTAGTGCGTACGGCCCAGTACATCACTGGGATCAAGCTTCCTGCCATCCAGGACCTCTATACCAGGTGGTGTCAGAGGAAGGCCCTAAAAATTGTCAAAGACTCAAGCCACCCTAGTCATAGACTGTTCTCTCTGCTACCGCATGGCAAGCGGTACCGGAGCGCCAAGTCTAGGTCCAAAAGGCTTCTCAACAGCTTCTACCCCAAAGCCATAAGACTCCTGAACAGCCAATCATGGCTACCCTGACTATTTGCACTGCCCCCACACCCCACCCCATTCCCCTCTTTTACGCTGCTGCTACTCCGTTTACTATTTATGCATAGTCACTTTAACTCTACCCACATGTACATATGACCTCAATTACCTCAACTAGCCAGTGCCCCCGCACATTGACTCTGTACCGGTACCCCCCTGCCTCCCTACTGCTATTTTATTTTACTGCTGCTCTTTAGCCATCTGCTTTAATTTTTTTCTTTTTCTTAATTAACACTTTAAAAAAAAAAAAAAATCTTTAAAACACTGTATTGTTGGTTAAGGGCTTGTAAGTAAGCATTTCACTGTAATGTCTACACCTGTTGTATTCGGCGCATGTGGCAAATAAAATGTAATTTGATTTGAGACCGGTGGAAATTTGTCCAAATTTGAGATTTTTGGTTCCTACCGCCGTGTCTTTGTGAGACGCGGTGTGGGTGAACGGATGATCTCCGCATGTGTATTTCCCACCATAAAGCATGGAGGAGGTGTTATGGTGTGGGGGTGCTTTGCTGGTGACACTGTCTGTGATTTATTTAGAATTCAAGGCACACTTAACCAGCATGGCTACCACAGCATTCTACAGCGATACACCATCCCATCTGGTTTGGGCTTAGTGGGACTATCATTTGTTTTTCAACAGGACATTGACCCAACACACCTCCAGGCTGTGTAAGAGCTATTTTACCAAGAAGGAGAGTGATGGAGTGCTGCATCAGATGACCTGGCCTCCACAATCCCCCGACCTCAACCAAATTGAGATGGTTTGGGATGAGTCGGACCACAGAGTGAAGGAAAAGAAGCCAACAAGCGCTCAGCATATGTGGGAACTCCTTCAAGACTGTTGGAAAAGCATTCCAGGTGAAGCTGGTTGAGAGAATGCCAAGAGTGTGCAAAGCTGTCATCAAGGCAAAGAGTGGCTACTTTGAAGAATCTCAAATATAAAATATATGTTGATTTGTTTAACACCTTTTTGGTTACTACATGATTCCATATGTGTTATTTCATAGTTCTGATGTCTTCACTATTATTCTACAATGTAAAAAATTGTAAAAATAAAGAAAAACCCTTGAATGAGTAGGTGTGTCCAAACTTTTGACTGGTACTGTAGTTCCATAGTTGCTTTCCTTGACACTGCCCCTAATTGACCCATTTGTAGAATCACTGATCTACAAATAGTATTCCCTGCCACATCATAAGCTTTGTGCAATTAAGTCGTAGAGCTATGCCTCACCTGGCTTAAGCAATCCCCCCACCAAACACTCAAGCACAACCACATTGATTGATTGAAGACAGCTTGTGTCAATTAAATAACATTTCCTAAGATTTCCTACCTGCAGCAACCCTAGTTGATAATTCTTGAAATACTGATTTAAAAAAAAGAAAAAAAGAAAACTTGCCCTAATGATGACATCCGTGAGACTACACAGAGTCAAAATGTGAATGGGAAGTGCGTCACAAATGAGACATAATTTGATGGCCATTATTTGGACATGGTCATTTGCAATTCTAGCTTTTGCGAATTCCTTCCTTGTTTGTCTTTGTAATGCTTCATTTGTCACAATTTGGAGTCTCCAAGACATTAGTCGTGGATTTGGTCAGATCTCAGTTGATTCTAAGATCTTTCTACTTTCATGTGTAGGATTCAACTGTAGGCCTGTTTTTGTAAGCTACACTGATACTCTAGAACAAGGGTATTCAACTCTTACCCTACGAGGTCCGGAGCCTGCTGGTTTTCTGTTCTACCTGATAATTAATTGCACCCACCTGGTGTCCCAGGTCTAAATCAGTCCCTGATTAGAGGGGAACAATGAAAAAATGCAGTGGAACTGGCTTCGGGGTCCAGAGTTGAGTTTGAGGGCTCTAGAACATTGTTCTCTCTTCCTTGAGTTCAGATCCTTTATGCTTGTTCTCTCTCTCTCTCTCTCTCTCTCTCTCTCTCTCTCTCTCTCTCTCTCTCTCTCTCTCTCTCTCTCTCTCTCTCTGTCTGTCTCTCCGTCTGTCTCTCTGTCTGTCTCTCTGTCTCTGTCTCTCTGTCCCTCCCTCTCTCTCTGTCTCTGTCTCTCTGTCTCTCTCTCCCTCCCTCTCTCTCTGTGTCTCTCTCCCTCCCGCTCTCTCTGTCTGTCTCTCTCTCTCCCTGGGAGTTCTGTGAAGCTGCTTTGCTAAGATGCCTATCTAAGGAGAATGACAGAGGGCATGGCGGGGTTGAGTCTGTGGGACCAGAGAAAATATTAGTTTTCCCACAAGCAAGCAAGAAGATAGGCTAATACCCATAGCAACAGATAAAACTTATTTTAGAGAGCATTTTCATTTTTGACCCGGTTTTGACATAATGTACAGTACCAAGGTAATTGTGGGTTAAGAGCAATCCAGGCTGGCAAAATTCACTTTTATGTAATCTAGGTTGGAAAACACATTTTGGATATGTATTGGAAACAGATGGGGTCCAATAGTATTTGAAATCTTTCAAATACTTAAGGCTTTATTCAATCCGTAGCGCTGAAGAGATGCTTTATAGCACGATTTACAATTAAAGGCAATGTTCCCGCGGTCACTGAGACTGCATTCATGGTAAACGCTGCATATGTCGGCTCAATCGGAAATTACCTTTACATTTTTACGTGGATGTTCCGTATACTTCCGCTATAGGGATTGAATCCAGCCCTTAGTGTTTGCTTTAGCCTGCCTGGATTGTCAGATGGGTGGGGTTTGCAATTTTGTGAAATGGTTCCATTCTATCACACAAGCTCAATCAATCCCAGTTGAAGTATTTCAAATTATTTGAAATAGGACTTGAACCCATTTCTGGTATGAGGAGAGGGTTGACAGTGGAACAAGAACAGCAAGTATGAGGGAGAATTCTTCCACACATTCTTTTTATTTGTAAATAATAAAAAATGAACTCTTTTTTTAAATATAAAACATACACATCATTTGAGCCACATCTGTTATACCAAACAAGAAATGTTGCAGTGAATACTTTTTTTTTTTTTTTTTTTAGATCATTTTCTTTTATAGTTGTTGTTTCAGTGGAACACATAAATTGTAAACAATCAGCATTTTTTTTCTCCCAATAATACTGACAAAATAAAAGGAATAACTCAGCCTCACTGAACATGAAACTAAAATGAGATGTTTTTATAAATGGGGTTTTACATGGCTGGGGTTGTAGGATGTAGGTTTCAAAGCACAGATAGAGAGGTGTAGTGACGGCAACTTTTGTTGTTAATATGTCCTGATACCCAAGTATGGCAATTTGGGACTAACCCTTGAAGCCTTGTACAACAGTAGTGTCCCTTTGCTGACTTTATAAGTCCACTAGTGGTCCCCAGGGACTTGACAATGGCCCCGTAATCTGACTTGGCCCCTTTCATAAATATCACTAAACCGTTTGGTTGGTTGAAAAAAGATTTACAATATACCTAAATGACTTTCGGTCATTATACTCTAAATAATTTGTGTAATATATGTATCCTTATATCTTATTACATCATTATGTTCAACATAACTATACTTTCTATATAGGTTGATCTGATTTATACATATTTAACCATGTAGTCTCAGCCCCATAGAGGTAAACTATGTGTACAGTAACAGTAGATTTGAAAGAATGGGGGCGGTGAGGCCTGCTTAGTACGACAGTACAGTACACGTTCAATAGCGTTAAAAAAAGACATCAACATAATCTCGGTAATCAGTTGGTTTCAAAACATTCAGCACCGGAATGAAGGATGTGGACTAGACTTGACTGCAGCTGATCATTTCGAATGTCTTCGCGTGATGTGAATGGCTTCGGTTTCTTGGTTTATCTCTTTATATTTAAGTACGAGCAAACTGTACAAGTGCATGCAACATACATCGGGCCTACGGTATGTGGAACTAACACACATATCTAGTTCAGTTCAATCTTTTTTTTCCAGTATCGTTTGTGTTTTACAAAATGGGCATGCAGCTTTGAACAGGTCCGAGTCATGCGGGCCACGCACCCTTTGGTGTGGGAGGAGTCAGCGGGCCTGACGGAGGATGAGCATTGGTGTTCCTGTCCTGACAGTTCAATTTGATTAGTTATTTTTCACATTCACAAAGATGCAGAAGGGAAATTTGAGCAACTGATCTTTTTTGTTTTTCCAAAAAATCTAGACAAAAAAAAAATGAAATGAACCAAAGAGTTTAATTTGCAATCAGTATTTTTTAAAAATCTTTTTTTTCCTTCATTTTTTTCAAAAAGTTAAACTTTTTGCCGTACAAAAATCAAGCTTATTGTGCTTGCGTTTTTAAATCTCAAAATAATGTAAACTGAAGTTTCGGATAAAACCCCTAAACATGTTCTGGGGTGAGGGGAAGGATATTCCCAGAAAACAGCTAAATGAAAGATACCTATCTTGTTCTCATGATTGTGGACAAATATATATATTTTTTACAGTGACTTGTTAACACCCTGGTGATAGTTCAAAGTGAAATGTATAATTATATTTATTGGTCAACCTCCTTGGAGGTCTAATATACATCTATACAAAGACAACTGGGTTGGACTTTTTGTAGGTGATTGAATGAAGAAAACGACATTGTAATTCCACACTAATCTCATCGTCAAGTGTAAAAATCGTCATTTAAGATGTGTCACTGAACAGTCCCCTGCATCTCATTGCAGACACTTTATTTCATTTTCTCTATTTCATATTTTTTTCTTTGTCTTTTACTTCTTCTCCAGACATCAGACAACACATCGTAAACCTCAGACTCATCAGAAAAACATTTTTGTGCCATAAGTAACAAACAGAGAAAAAAAAGTCAAACGTACCAAAGACAAAAATTCGAGAGCGGCTTGGACCAGCCGTGGTAAACATATTGAAAACAAAAAATGATATTTTGACAGAGAAGGACCAGTAATGTGAATCCACAAAGTCTAGGCACCAGAAGGAGACCCCTGCTTGCCCCGACCGATCCCACCCAGAAGCACTCTGCCCTGGGGGCCGAAGTGCTGGCAGTCTGTTTGGGGTCCGGAGAGGGTCTACTGCGGAGAGGACATTATGGCGCCCCCTGGAGGGCAAGGAGGATTACGCCTCTGTCTTGGGTCCATACATTCTGACGCTAACATACATTTCTTTGTTTATTGATGGTTTGACTAAAAACTACCACCCTGCTTCCTTTGTCATTTAAATGTGTACTTAGTTTCTTCTACGAATCGAGTGGTCTCCTTACCGCTCGACTCCAGTACAGCCTTACCTAGCTACCGAACATTGTTTATTACCGACAGCCCTAGTTCTTAGATTACAACCGCGAACAAACTTTGACGAATTAGTTACTGAAATGAAACATTGAAACATAACGCTCTCTAAAACAAACAACAAATTAAACGATGTCAGGAGTGATTGTCAGATATCAACAAAGCTTTTTTTTTAAATCATTGTGACTCTTTTTCTTGATTGTTGTTGTTCTAGAATATTTTTTGTACGTTAATCTCTAAAGTAACGTTAATTCGTTTCACAAAGCGGTAGGCTACCCATAGTCCCATTGGTCCATTAAGATTGGTAGCTGTAGTCCTATTGGTCCACTAGGATCGGGTGCCCGGTGGGCCCGAGGAGCTGTCCAATGATGACTGGGAAGCACGTCGAGTCAGGGAGGCTAGTGTGGGGTCCACCAAGGAGGAGGGTGGGAACAACTTGTACCAGCCAATCACTGTACTTGATAAATCTAGTTCCTCCAATAGGATTTGTGCAACTCCCATGAAGCTTTTGTGGTCCATTCGTCCGTAGTCTCCCCAGACGATCACCTGAAGGGGAAAAAAAGACCCCCAAAAATGTATTGATTAAAAACTTTTACAGCTTTAAAAGGTTTTAATATTCTTCAGGGGATACAATTATTTAATTATTTAATTGAAAAGCGATTTTACTTTCTTTATGAAACAAGGCACGCTTTGACACTTACCTGTAATACTTTGCCCTGTGGGCTCTCCTCGAATTGCAGCGCTTGCTGGTACAGCGGGTCGAGCGTTTTCCGTGCAATCTTGGTTTTCTTTTTGGCTACATACGCTCCATTATTCAACAGATATACCTTGACATATGGAGCTGAAGAAAGAAAGAAAGAAAGAAAGAAAGAAAGAAAGAAAGAAAGAAAGAAAGAAAGAAAGAAGAGGCAGATAAGGATACTCCATTGTGATTATAAACATGATCAGGTTTAATTGTTTTCTCTAGGTGGGCGATTACATGGACCCAGATAAGACTACTCCTGGACTAAAAAGCACTTTCAATGGACTTTGCACTGAATATTATTTTGTCTCAATGCAGTCCTCCACCCCTATGTGGCGCTACCACCAGTGTCTCACCAGGGAGGGATTTGGATCCAGGCTTTTGTACGAGGCCCCGAGCTCTGATCACCTCCACCTCCAACTGACCCTTCTTGTCCATCATTCCGATCTGAATATCACCTGGGAGGAAGAGGAAGTAGAACGACTTGACCGGAAATGGTGGATAAATGACGAGGTCCCACTCGGGCCGTTTACTATAGAATTTTTTTTTCACAGTTCCAGTCTGCTTAAGTTGTGGCTTCCTATATGCACCAATGCGATAGCAGCTGATGTCTCGCCTTCTGTTTTGTCTCTGGTTGACTAAACAGGAAACAGGAAATTGATTGAACCAATCAGAACAGGAAGTAGGCAAGAGATAAGGGGCGCGTTCGAGCAGATCACATTTGTCAAGTATTGTTTTGCATTATGGGTATAAAAATGTGTTTTGTATTATGGGTATTAAAATGTTCAAAAATCATGTGATCAAAGGTCATGCAGTTTTTATGAAGACACCTTCAAGTCGCTGCAGTTGCTTCTCACCGACTGCACCATGCAGTCATCACCTGCATTGTGGGAGGCACTATTTGTCAACCAATCATGAGGGTGTTTTTGTTTGACCCAAATGAACATGGCCAAAGATGTGCCTAAAACAGGAACCAACTTTGCCCCGATTCTAAAGCTACAGGGTATACAAATGAAAGTGATATTTGAGACTGCTTTCTAACCAATTAATTGTACACACATTATGTTTTCAGTTTGTGAGTGTGTGATATGGGAGTATAGAAAAGTTTATTTAAATAAACAATAGCAGCTATGTTGACACTGCCATGTTGATCTGAGCCTTGCTGTTGGAAAACCACTACCTTGTCCGACTTTTGACTGTTGCAGTCGGCTTCGTTAGGCTTACTGCTCGAACACACCCAATGTCATGAAATAGGAAGTGGGCAATTGAGTTTCTCAAGAGGGAAGTTGGAAGGACATTGAGTTATTGAGGTAATATGGAGAAGGAGGAACGGGAGCTATGTGAATGCATGAAACTGATTTGTGGGGTATAGAAATAGCATAACAATAAGTTATCAATTGGGGAAGAGTCACAGAGGAACTATGATAAGGCAATAACACAATGAATAGACAGAATAGAATAGAATAGAATAGGGGGATATTTACTCACCTATGGCAGGTGTGGCCAGTGTTTGTCTGCCCACCAGCTGGGCAGGACCCAGGCCATCCAGGAAGTCGCTGAACTGGTTGCCTGGCTGTCCCAGACGCACCCCACCGAAAAGCAGACTAGAACAGAATAGGAACACAGTCAATATACAACTAATTACCATATCTAACCTATGGGTCCAGGTGAAATGTATCTATCAAATTGACTGCAATAATGCTGAAATACTGGGTTGTTTACTTTACAGTGAATGTCAATTCATGGAACATTGGGTAAAAAAATGTTATATGCATAAACAGAAAGAGGAAGAAAGTAACGAAGAGAGAGAGGGGAGAAGGAGGAAAAGGAGAGAGACATACAGTATACAGAGAGAGAGAGAGAGAGAGAGAGAGAGAGAGAAATACAGAGAGAGAGAGAAATATATATATATAGAGAGAGTCTGTAGGTACTGACTTTCCCTCAGAGTTGCAGCTGTTCATGGTGCCGTTGGTGGACTCTTTACTGGACTGTCGACTCATGTTCCTGGTCATCTCTACGGCCATGCCTGTCTCTGTGCTCCTCTGGATGGATGCACCCTTCTCCTTCTTCCCCTTCCCCTCTGGTACCGGAGAGGAAAAATTATACACAATGTAGCGGATAGCTAAGGCTAATGGCTAAGATAGCATGGCTATGTTACTGTCTTCCTGAGACCTGAAGCACTATCTTCCAGTCCTTCGTTTTTCTGGGTCAGTGCAACACAACTATCGAGGATGAACACACTTAGGCCAGAAGGCTTTATTTTGTGGTCTTTTTGAGGAAAACCAGGTGTAGTGCCATGTATTTCTAGCTGCCTCATCATCATGATAGGACACAGTCACGTAGCTGGGGCACGGCCACCCCGTTCCAACTCAGAGGACAAATGACACAAAAGAGGAGGAGGAAGAGAAAGAACCGAATGGTGAAGTCAAAGTATCCTTTCCTGTCATTGCGTTTTCACAAATCACAGTTGAACAATGGGTTGTAGAGTGTTGGAGAGGTGTTGAGAGAGAAAGAACATGTTTTTTTATTTCAAGGTTCCATTAACTCCACAACCGTCCCTCGTCACAACCAACAGGATCCTTCTGTCATAATACAGACAATGACGTACCATACAGTCAATCCTAAAGAACAATACAGTAGTACATTAGGATAATACGCAGGTTGATGTTTATTGTCATGAATCTTTCTCTGGAGGCAGAACTGAACGATTTCCGCTAGATGGGCCAGCTGCATAGTCAAAATTGGCTATATTGTAAAAATTCATGATTTTTTGTTTTTGCTTTTTGGTCTTAATTTAAGATTAGGGTTAAGCATTAGGGTTAGCAGCGTGATTAAGGTTAGGGTTAAGGCTAGGCTTAGGCTTAAAATCTGACTTAATGACTTTGTGGCTATTCCAGCTAGTGACCATTCTGCAGAGCTGCCTCCAGAACAAGATTCATGACAAAGAACGCTAACCTTAAATGAATTGTAGTACAGCAAGAATCAACAGTACCAACCATAAAACAATAATCATCTTGAAAGTATTCAAGCTTGAAAAATGTAAAAACAAGTCCTCCTTACCTTCTCTCTCTCTCTCACCTCAACATAAATACTATGATTTTGGCAGCAAAGAGGGCAACTATCACACAGAATACCAATCATACTGCTATACTATATAACAATGGGGAGATCGGCATGGAGAGACCCCCCTAGGCCCCAGTTTCCTTTATAATGGCTTTTTATGTCGGCTACAAAGAGGAGTGCAAAAAAAGAACAGGAAGAGGAATGCAGTGCAGTTGGAGCCTTTCAAGTCCCTCTCTCTCTCTCTCGCTGCGTCCTCTCTCCACACCCTACGGTGAGTCCAGCCAGGCTGAGAAAGATTCCCTAAAGTCTTTCTCTCTGACTGGAAGCTTGGCCGCAGTGGCTGTCATCTAGAGTAGAAACATGTTGTTTTGAAACTCTTTAAAACTTGCTTTTTGTGGGTTGTATTCTTAAGATTTGAATTCCAGCATCAGGACATTTTGGCGTGTAGTCACGTAACAAAAGGTCAAGAGTGATGACGCACCTGCTTATCTGTTTTTTTTTGTTCTGCCTTCAGATGAAAGTGCTATAAGGTAGCTAGCTATAGGTCGCTCTTAACCCTAAAAACATCTGGGAACTATCGTGTCATGGCCACTTGCTGATAGTCTGTAATGTCTCATTTTTACTGTCTGTAATGTCTAATTGTTAAATGTTTGTAATGTCTACCACCGTCTTTCCATGTAAACCCTAAAGTATATTTTCAAATCAAATCAAAATACCAGAGCCACATTTTCATACCACAACCAACCCCTGAGTGTCTCCTTCATTTGGATGAGGATCAGTTTAGACCTTTGAACTCACCCGGGCCGATGATCTGCGAGGTGCTTCGACTACGTCTGTTGGAGACGATGGAGACCACCCTGGCACTGAGGCTGGAGCGTCTCTTCTTGCCACCCATGCCCACCGTGCCCAGCGCCGTGTCCGATTGGCTGCCGTCGGTACGCTCTGACGCGTAGATCTCACTGCTCACGCTTGTGCTCTTCAGCATGGTCCGGCCCGGCGCTGCACGAACCTGCCGACTAGAGGGAGAAAGAGGAGAGTAAGGTTCAATCTGGAATCACAGTCTTGAGATATGAAATGAGCAGTGGAACTTATAACATAAGGGGTTACCTTCACTTTAGTGGGTGAAAACACAGTACAGTCTAATAAACGTCAATAATTGATAAGGTTCTTATACAGTATGATGTGAGGCATACAATGATTGGTGAGTAATTGCAATGAGTTTAATATTAAAACTTGATATCGATGATACAAGAAAGCCTGAACAGACTCCAAAAGATCTCAAAACGTTATAAAAAATGATCTCAATGAACTCAGATGATCTCACGCCTCCAAAATCAGCAATATGCCATATGTGTCCAATGTCCATCATTGCCGGTCTTTTGTAATGGCCGATAACATAGAAATATAATTAAAACACCTTACAACACATATATATATGTGTGTCTCTTTCGTATTATAAATGAGTCCTTCAGTCTCAGCCAATAGCCTTAGCTGTTCAGGCTTCTTCTCCTCAGACAGGCCAACATACAGCAGGGACAGACGACACGCAGTGCTCTGTGATGCATTCTAGGGGTTCGGAGGAGCTGGTGCATGTCCATCCCCATCCCCTCTAAAAGGGTCGGGGTGCTGCAGGAGAGCCCCGCCACACTGCACCCGTCCCCCATCCCAATCGGGGACCCTCTCCAAGTGACCAGGGGGTTAGGGAGGGGTAGGGTGGTCTGGGGCCTCTCCTCGGCCCCGTGGAGGGGGGTGATGGAGGGGCGAGGGTCGGCGTTGGGGTAGGGAGGAGGGTACTCCGACTCAGAGGAGGTCCAGGGGGGGTCTGGACAGTGGGAGCACAGGACGCATGCCAGGAGGGATCTGAGACACACACTGATGTACAAACACACACGCAGACACACAGTGGCACAGGACACAACAACGCAGGTTGACACACACACAACGGTCACAGACACACAACCACATGCACAAAAGTGGGACAACATTAAATCAAGCAAAAATAAACAAGGAGACTATATCACATGTGATGTTGTATGTCAGCACAAATGACCAAACACATTTCCCCACATTGAACAATTAAGCTGTGAAATGAAATTGAATAATGGGAGTGATAGAATATAGCAGCCTCAGATGGACAGAGAAGAAGAAGAGGATTGAGGAAAATGGGATGACTTCGGGCCAGTCTTCAATATACTGTATGCATCCAAGTATCTCCATCGAGCACATCCAAACTGACCTGGAACCAGTCTTCAATATACATACTGTATAAATCCGGTATCTCAATCAAGCACTTCCACACTGACCTGGGGCCAGTCTTCTATATACTGTATGCATTCAACTACGCCCTATCAAGTACCTCCAAACTGACCTAGGACCAGTCTTCAATATACTGTATTCATCCAAGTATCTCCATCAAGCACCTCCACACTGACCTGGGGCCAGTCTTCAGTATACTGTAGGAATCCAATATCTCTCATCAAGTACCTCCAAACTGACCTGGGGCCAGTCTTCAATATTCTTTATGAATCCAATATCTCTTATCAGGTACCTTCAAACTGACCTGGAGCCAGTCTGCAGCAATCTGAGCAACCAGCGAACAACCCACCACATTCCATTCTCTCTGCAGTCCACAATAGCCATGATCTAGCTCTTAGAAAGTATGTCAAAGGCCCTAGGCCCTCTGTTTTATAACCACTCTATATGGATTGACGCGAGCGCGCGCACACACACACACACACACACACACACCTCAATACATTAGGCTGTTAATAAGGGCCACTACATCTTGATCCTGCCCAGTAGAGGCTCAGGGGATTGGGTCATTTGTCCGTGTCAGCAGGCAGGCTGTGGTGGACCGGACTGGTCAGCCGGAGGGAAGTTAGGGCTGTGTGGGGAGGGAGGTTATGGGTGGGGTTATGTGATGTGAGGCCTCTGGGCTTATAGGACTATGGGATGGTTGGCTAAGAAAGTAGAGTAAAACTGTGGAGAAATTAGGGTAGACGGTAAAGCAGGTGGGTTTGAGGGATACTAGTTTGTACATGTAAGGCAGGTGGGTTTGAGGGACACTAGTTTGTACATGTAAGGCAGGTGGGTTTAGAGAGGACACTAGTTTGTACATGTAAGGCAGGTGGGTTTGAGGGACACTATAATAATATAATATAATATGCCATTTAGCAGACGCTTTTATCCAAAGCGACTTACAGTCATGTGTGCATACATTTTTACATATGGGTGGTCCCGGGGATCGAACCCACTACCCTGGCGTTACAAGCACCATGCTCTACCAATTGAGCTACAGAGAACCACACTAGTTTGTACATGTAAAGCAGGTGGGTTTAGAGGGGACACTAGTTTGTATATGTAAGGCAGGTGGGTTTAGAGAGGACACTAGTTTGTATATGTAAGGCAGGTGGGTTTGACGGGACACTAGTTTGTACATGTAAAGCAGGTGGGTTAGAGGGGACACCAGTTTGTATATGTAAGGCAGGTGGGTTTGACGGGAAAGTAGTTTGTACATGTAAGGCAGGTGGGTTTGAGGGGACACTAGTTTTGTGTTACATGTAAGGCAGTGGGTTTGAGGGGACACTAGTTTTGTCCAGTAAGGCAGTGGGTTTAGAGCGGACACTAGTTTGTATATGTAGGCAGGTGTGTTTGACGGGACACTAAGTTTTTGTACAATGTAAAGCATGGTGGGTTTGAGGGAACACTAGTTTGTACATATTAAGGCAGGTGGGTTTGACGGGAAAGTAGGTTGTACATGTAAGGCAGGTTGGGTTTGAGGTGGACACTAGTTGTTACATGTAAGGGCAGGGGGGTTTGACGGGAAAGTTGTTTGTACATGTAAGGCAGGTGGGTTTGAGGGAACACTAGTTTGTACATGTAAGGCAGGTGGGTTTGACGGGAAAGTAGTTTGTACATGTAAGGCAGGTGGGTTTGAGGGGACACTAGTTTGTACATGTAAGGCAGGTGGGTTTGAGGGGACACTAGTTTGTACATGTAAAGCAGGGGTGTCAAACTCATTCCATGGAGGGCCGAGTGTCTGCAGGTTGTTGGTCTTTCCTTTCAATTAAGATCTAGACAACCAGGTGAGGGAGTTTCTTACAAATTAGTGACCTTAATTCATCAATCAAGTACAAGGGTGGAGCGAAAACCCGCAGACACTTGGCCCTCCGTGGAATGAGTTTGATGTAAAGCCAGGTGGGTTTGAGGGGACACTAGGTGACAGTTACAGTAGGTGGTTGAGTGAGGCCATTTACAGGTCACAACAAGAGCAATAGGTTTACGGGGACCATGGTTAGTGGGTACACAGCGATTATATGAGATCCCTGGACTATGGGGCTCTTGTCTTCCAGGGCCCATTGCAGGTCCCTCCATCCTGTGAAGGAGCGAGAGATCTTTTCTCTTTTCTTTACCTGGCGTCTTTGGGGTCCCCAGACACAGTGTGTCTCCTCCTCTTCAGCTCTTGAGAGAACCGTCTCTTCCCTGCTGCCCTCATCCTTTCTTGCTCTCCATTCATCCCCCACGAGATCCTCCTCTCCTTCTTCTCGTCCTCTAAAGACTTGGACCTGTGTCCGTTCATTTGGGGGTTTTCCCACCGTGTGTGTTTGTGTGTACGCAACGCAAGTATTTGTAGAGAAACACGAGCATGCAAAAAGATTGAAGCGTGCACCAATCAGCATGCAGAAAAAAAGAGAGACAAAATAAAAACAAGCAAGCATGACACACTGACAGATAAACAAATACCACACCATGCTTTTGATTTCTTCAATTGGTACTTCATTATCTTGTAAATGATCTTGTAAAAATTAAATTAAAGTGCAAGGTGGTGTACCGACCTGAGCCGCCCGCGCGGGCGTTCTGATTGGATGGACATGTAGGAGGTGCTGCTGAGGCGTGAGGCGCTGCTGGCGCGGGATAGGGCCGACGCGTCACTCATGTCGCTGTCTGACGAGCGGGCCGACACGTTGTCACAGCTCCGCCGCTGGTCCGCATACATCTGAAGGCGGTGAGAGAGGAGAGAGGAAGACTCCGAATATGTATCAAACGGTCCAAATATTCACTCATATAATAGTTACTGTACATACAGTAGGTCCAATAAAACACAGTTGTGTAGCTGAGCTTTATGTGTAGATCTGCTCCCCAATAACCAAAGTGGTATCTGTGTTATTACTGATCAATGAAAAAATAATCACCATGGAAAACTCTCCAACTTTTGATGTGTGAAGGACAGTGGCCATCTTGAACGACAGTTAATATACTGTTGCTCTAGGTGTAGAACTAGATAATTACAAATTGTATGTGTTCCAGCAGAGAGATGCAGCAAAAGTACTGACCTCTCGTTTGGTCTTGAGGTCTGTCTCGGGGTCGTGGGAGGCTGAAGGCCGGTAGGAATGTACTTTCATGTTCATCTGTCTGGCTCGCTCCTCTACTGCTAGAGCTGGGAGGAAATGACTTAATGAATGAATACAGTAATACTACAGTAATAATACAGTAAATTACACAAGAAACACACAACCTCTCAGGTGAATGACAGTGAAAGTGAACGGTGTAGGGTGAAGTTGCCCCTAGACGCTGATCTTGTGTCAGTTTTGCATTTCCCCTACTTATGGTTAAGGTTAGGATTTGGGGAATGGAAAGCTGATCCTAGATCTGTACCTAGGGGAAACTTCACCCTGGAACAAGGTGAACAGAGGAAGCAGGAGGTGATTGGAGGTGTCAGACAACTGTACTGTACTCTTAGTGGCATTACTCTATTTGGACACTAGGTGGCGCATGCGATGCATCACTTTCATTATATGTCATGTACTGAATACTACAGCGTGCACAGAGGGTCATAATTGTTGGGGGATATTAAGAGGGAAAATGCAAATCACATCTACTAAAATCTAAAACATAATATAAAGTTGGGTAAGATACAGTCGTGCCATAGAATTACCTTTTTCATCAGGTTTACTAGCATCAACAGGTTTATTATCTACATGTATATGTTCTTCATGGACATGGAGGTAGAAGAGAATGAGGAATGTAAAGAAACAGCGAAGAGTGAGGAAGAGCACTCAGAAAGAATGGTTTTGAATGGTCGGAGTTATGAGTTCATACACTCAGTTATAGTACGAGACACATCAAACACACACGCAAAGACAGACAGCCACACACACACACACACACACACACACACACACACACACACACACACACACACACACACACACACACACACACACACACACACACACACACACACACACACACACACACTCCTTGACAACCTACCTTGCTCTACGCTGCTGCTTCTGGCAGGAACCTGTGGCAGCTGTCTGCCCCTGCGACCCGTAGGAGGGGAGGGGCTGTGGGTGTGTGTTCTGAGAGAGAGAGAGAGAGAGAGAGACAAGAGACAGAGAAAGAGAGAAAGGGGGAAAGGGAGATTAACTACAAGAGAATGAGTTCAACTCCTCCACAGAAGGCCCATTCCTGCATATGTAAAACCCAGGGCGGCTACATCCTTGACCATACACTAGAGGGAACCAATGGGATTGGTTTACTCCTCCCACAACCAATAGGAGCAGCAGGACAGTGGGTATAGGGGGGGACAGAGGTCCAAGCGGGGCAAAGGGGTTCAACAAGGGGGTGCTAAGGGGGTATATTTTTGGGCACCAGCATGCACCTGTCCTGTCGTGGTGAGTTAGGGGCAGATCCCCCCAGGGGTGTCTGGTTAAAGGGGCGCAGCGGCCCCCCTCTCCCCCTACTGCCCCTCAGTATAGAGGTGGGCTGGATACGACTGGCATCAACAGGCCACGTGGAAAGGAAAGAAAACACAAACGAAAGAAAGCTAAATGATATAAATGGTAAAGAATGTAAATCATATCAAACAGAAAAGAAGGACCTTATGGCGAACAATGAATCAGAACACAATAAATGAAGGACATAACAATTCAAGACAACACAGGGCTACGGGTCCTACTGATAGTACCATGCTGATAGTACCACACCATCTGAACAACGCTCATTTAGAAAAGGTTTTGCTGTGCTGCTAAATTGCATACACAACAAAGTCACAATTTGTTACAATTCAGATTGACATCAGACATCAACACATTCTCGATTTGAAGAGGGACTATCTCCATCCAGATAGAGGAGAGGATGAATGGGGGTGTATGGGAGGGATGGGTAGAATGAATGAAAGAATGCCCTTACCTGTCAGCCTCCAGGCCTTTCTTGCTGTTACCTCTCTGACTGTTAGGCCTGCCCAGGCTCCCTGACTGCCTGTGACGTGGAGGACATGAGAAGAAGACAAAATGGAGGATGGGTAACCCAATGGAGAAACAAAACTAAAAACAAATCTTGAATGCATGGTCAGCTGGCGTTTTATTTTAAATAAAAGAGATGCTTTGGCTGAAATGATTTTGTTAAAATAAAATGAAGATGCAAAAATGTTGACTACTATATTGCACTACTACATTGCTTGCTACTAATTGTTTCGAAAAGAAACATCAAAGCACCATGACAACAGAGCAAGTGGAAGTCAGATGTGTAGCAGAGGAAGCAGGTCAGTTAGCTGAAGCAGAAGTCAGGAAGCAGGTCAGTAAGGTGAAGCAGCAAGAGAAGCAGTAACTACAGCGTTACAACAACCCACCAGTTTACACTCTAATCTAGAACATCTAGGAAAGCTACAAAGTGCAGGGTTAGGTTTAGGCCAGGGTTAGCACAAGGGTTAGGCTTACGGTTAGAGGAAAACTATAGTAGCCACGCAGTGCTAAGCAAGTACAGTAGCAGGACTGCAGCTTGGGTCCTGGGAGGTAAGGGTAGAGCTAGGTCGGTACCCAGTACCTTTCTTCCTCTGGGGAGGCCTGCTCTACTAAAATCCTGGGGCTTGTGGGCTGTCTGCGGGGCAGAGAGTTGGAGCATCTGGAGGTGTGGTGGGGTGTGGCATCCCCCAGGTGGGGAAACAGGGGAGAGGGACACAGTGAGTGGAGGGAGGGGTGGGTTCATGTTAGTTTAGAACAAGCTAAAAGCATTTGGCTTCCCTGGCAACTAGAATGCCTCTGCTAGCCAAAACACTCAGTGACAGTAGGTGTGAATTATTTTGCAGGTAAATGTGAAAGAGCTGTTATTGTGTAGTCACTGTGTTGCTCAGCACCTCTCAATATACACTGAGGAGCTAGTGGTGAACAAAATGACATATTATGATGAATAGCAACCTAATTGATAGATAACATGCATGACAAGAATGGGTGAAGAGATGTTGAATCTTTGTTGATTCAAAGTATGGGTATACTCTGGGAGAATAGAACAATCAAATGATCGTTTTTTACATTATTTGAGAGAATAAAGAAATGTTCAACTACTAAGGAAACATTGTAAACCTAGAAAAGGAGGTGCAGCAGGTTAGCTCTTATAGAGGAGAGTGGATGTTGGTGTGTGTGTGTACCTGTCTCTATCAGGAGAGAGGAAGTTGGTGTGTGTGTACCTGTCTCTATCAGGAGAGAGGAAGTTGGTGTGTGTGTACCTGTCTCTATCAGGAGAGAGGAAGTTGGTGTGTGTACCTGTCTCTATCAGTAGAGAGGAAGTTGGTGTGTGTGTACCTGTCTCTATCAGGAGAGAGGAAGTTGGTGTGTGTGTACCTGTCTCTATCAGGAGAGGGGAAGTAGGTGTGTGTGTACCTGTCTCTATCAGTAGAGAGGAAGTTGGTGTGTGTGTACCTGTCTCTATCAGGAGAGAGGAAGTTGGTGTGTGTGTACCTGTCTCTATCAGGAGAGGGGAAGTAGGTGTGTGTGTACCTGTCTCTATCAGAGAGAGGAAGTTGGTGTGTGTGTACCTGTCTCTATCAGGAGAGGGAAGTTGGTGTGTGTGTACCTGTCTCTATCAGGAGAGAGGAAGTTGGTGTGTGTACCTGTCTCTATCAGGAGAGAGGAAGTTGGTGTGTGTGTACCTGTCTCTATCAGTAGAGAGGAAGTTGGTGTGTGTGTACCTGTCTCTATCAGGAGAGAGGAAGTTGGTGTGTGTGTACCTGTCTCTATCAGTAGAGAGGAAGTTGGTGTGTGTGTACCTGTCTCTATCAGGAGAGGGGAAGTTGGTGTGTGTGTACCTGTCTCTATCAGTAGAGAGGAAGTTGGTGTGTGTGTACCTGTCTCTATCAGGAGAGTGGACGTAGGTGTGTGTGTACCTGTCTCTATCAGGAGAGAGGAAGTTTGTTTGTGTGTACCTGTCTCTATCAGGAGAGAGGAAGTAGGTGTGTGTGTACCTGTCTCTATCGGGAGAGAGTAAGTAGGTGTGTGTGTACCTGTCTCTATCGGGAGAGAGGAAGTAGGTGTGTGTGCACCTGTCTCTATCGGGAGAGAGGCAGTTGGTGTGTGTGTATCTGTCTCTATCAGGAGAGGGGAAGTTGGTGTGTGTGTACCTGTCTCTATCAGGAGAGAGGAAGTTGGTGTGTGTGTACTTGTCTCTATCAGTAGAGAGGAAGTTGGTGTGTGTGTACCTGTCTCTATCAGTAGAGAGGAAGTTGGTGTGTGTGTACCTGTCTCTATCAGGAGAGAGGAAGTTGGTGTGTGTGTACCTGTCTCTATCAGTAGAGAGGAAGTTGGTGTGTGTGTAGCTGTCTCTATCAGTAGAGAGGAAGTTGGTGTGTGTGTACCTGACTCCATCAGGAGAGTGGACGTAGGTGTGTGTGTACCTGTCTCTATCAGGAGAGGGGAAGTAGGTGTGTGTGTATCTGTCTCTATCAGTAGAGAGGAAGTTGGTTTGTGTGTACCTGTCTCTATCAGGAGAGTGGAAGTAGGTGTGTGTGTACCTGTCTCTATCGGGAGAGAGTAAGTAGGTGTGTGTGTACCTGTCTCTATCGGGAGAGAGGAAGTAGGTGTGTGTGTACCTGTCTCTATAGGGAGAGAGGAAGTAGGTGTGTGTGCACCTGTCTCTATCGGGAGAGAGGAAGTTGGTGTGTCTGTATCTGTCTCTATCAGGAGAGGGGAAGTTGGTGTGTGTGTACCTGTCTCTATCAGGAGAGAGGAAGTTGGTGTGTGTGTACCTGTCTCTATCAGTAGAGAGGAAGTTGGTGTGTGTGTACCTGTCTCTATCAGGAGAGTGGAAGTAGGTGTGTGTGTACCTGTCTCTATCAGGAGAGGGGAAGTAGGTGTGTGTGTACCTGTCTCTATCAGTAGAGAGCAAGTTGGTGTTTGTGTGTACCTGTCTCTATCAGGAGAGTGGAAGTAGGTGTGTGTGTACCTGTCTCTATCGGGAGAGAGGAAGTAGGTGTGTGTGTACCTGTCTCTATCGGGAGAGAGGAAGTAGGTGTGTGTGTACCTGTCTCTATTGGGAGAGAGGAAGTTGGTGTGTGTGTACCTGTCTCTATCAGGAGAGAGGAAGTTGGTGTGTGTGTACCTGTCTCTATCAGGAGAGAGGAAGTTGGTGTGTGTGTTCCTGTCTCTATCAGGAGAGGGGAAGTTGGTGTGTGTGTACCTGTCTCTATCAGGAGAGGGGAAGTTGGTGTGTGTGTACCTGTCTCTATCAGGAGAGGGGAAGTAGGTGTATGTGTACCTGTCTCTATCAGTAGAGGGGAAGTTGGTGTGTGTGTACCTGTCTCTATCAGGAGAGGGGAAGTTGGTGTCAGGTCTGAGGCAGGTGGTGCTGGCACTCCTCACCCGGTCCAGACTGGGCTGCAGATCACTACAGTACCACGGAGGGAGAGAGAGAAGGAAGGGAAAAGCGGAAGAGAGGGGACAGAGTGAAAGGAAGAGGGCAAAACAGAGAGAAGGAATGGTAGAGAGAGAAAAAAACAAAGAAAGAGAGAGAATGGAGGGAAACAGAGAGTCCAAGACAGAAGGAAGGAATTGCAAATAGAGGTGGGAGGGGGAACGAGACACAGAAAGAAAAGAAGGAACGAACATTAGATACAGAACAGAGTTCAAGGGGGCTTGTAAACCTCCATTCATTACAATAGAGGCCCTTTGCGGCCATACTGTACAGTCGGTCCACTTGATGTAAAGGTTGGAGCGTTGCCATGAGAACTTGCTCTTGGTGGATGAGGAGGGTGGACTGGGTGAACTTTGCGTGAGCAGACATACTACAGCACAAGTATTCTCTCTATCACACACACACACGCACGCACGCACGCACACACACACACACACACACACACACACACTGTCTCTTTCTCTCTCCCTTCTCTCTGGCAGGGAGCCTACTAATGTCGAGGGTCTTAACATTTGTCATGGTCTTTGTTGGGGCCATGGATGTCAACACAACACTGGAATACAGGCTGTGTCCAACTGCATCACATGCCTCATATGACACAGAGCCCCAATGTATGCTATGGTTTGCAGTGCGCCAATAAGGACTTAGTTGTTTATTGTTTAATACAGTCAACTCTGTTGCGTGTCCTGTGGTCTTACACAAGTTTGGGTTAAGGATCAGCATTCGATCACTCACAAAGGGATGGACGGTGGAGTGCAAAGGCCTTTTGGGGGCTTGGAGAGGGTCATCCGTGGGGTTGGGGTGGAGAGGTGAAGTACGAAAGAGAAGGGGTTTCCATTGGGGGTGGGAGGGCAGAGGATGAAGGGATGGGGTGCAAAGGGGGCGAGGAGGGCGTCTGTTCACAGTTATGGGTTTCTTACCTAACGGTGACCTCATCAGTGAACCTGAGCACACGGTGTGTGAGCACGCTACGGGAGGCGGGACCGCCCCCTCCCTGATGCCCCCGGGGGGGCTTGCTCTTTAGGCATGCAGGGAGGGTGTTGCTACACGCGTGTGAATCCGTGGTAGAATGTATAGATGCATGCAAGAAAGGAAAGAAAACATAGATTTGACATGCATGCAAAAGAATGAGAGACCAATGAACAATGATGAAGACATGTAAGGAATAAACAGAGAAAAACAGACTCTGAGTAAAACGACATGCAAGAAAACCCAACAATGGCATTGAGGTAAACAAACAAACCATATAAAAACAGCAAAGCAATAAAAATGTCCTATGGACATCTCTAGAACTTGAGACATGGAGGAGGAATATCCAGATTTGACATCAAAATATCAAATGTACTCCTTTATAATCCCCATTCTCAGTACATCCTCTCCCAACTACTTTGTAGTGATGGGGGGTTGTCTGATGGAAGCCCAAGACATAGACGACAACAGAGAACACAATGAAAGTAAAAAGATATGCATATTGGCAGGACTGCACCGTGTACACCTCAGAAATGTAACGATACCTATCAAATAAAGTAAATGACCGTTATCGGTGTCAGCGATGACCCCAATAAAAACACAGTAACCCTTTACTTAGGGTGTACAGTTATAATGTGTTTTTACTTGTCAACAGCATGTCTATTCTAAACTGTAACATCACCAAGTCGCCTGCGAAGGTGAAATCAATGATGTTATAACACGAAGAAAAGTGACCCTTTTGTCTCTAGCTTTTGTTGTCACATACACCGGATAGGTGCAGTGAAATGTGTTGTTTTACAGGGTCAGCCATAGTAGTACAGCACCCCTGGAGCAAATTAGGGTTAAGTGCCTTGCTCAAGGGCACATCGGCAGATTATTTACCTTGTCGGCTCAGGTATTAGAATCAGCAACCTTTCGGTTACTGGCACAAAGCTCTAACCGCCAGGCTAGCTGCCGCCCATTAGAGGACTGGAGATTAAATGTAATACTGATTATATAAGTCCATCTAAACTGATTTTAAGTTGCACGTGGGAAAGCATTATAGCATGGGGAAATAAAGTATATAATAGATTTACTGTACATAGGACAGTATATAGGATTATAGTACTAAAATATACAGTGAAGTACTACTATAGTATTACTGTAACATAGCAGATTGCACACAGATCTGGCCCAGGCTCATCATATTATAATAAATAATAATTAGGTGGATGCTTATATTTGTCCTATTTCACATGTACAAGTGTGTATTATACGCATGTGTGAATTGGATGTGTTTTTTTTCACATCCCAACTCTGTGATACCACATCAAATCTGTCTGGAATCTGGTTGCTGGTTTAGCAATCATTTCAAAAAGCTTTCTAATGTGTCTCTGGAAATGGAAAATAATGCTAATATATTAGCATGTTCTAATGTGTTGTGGTGTAGCTATTATGCTATGCTAACATATTTGTATGTTCTAATGTGTTGCGGTGCAGCTATGATGCTATAGTATCAAAACTGAAGAAGCAGGTTGAAGGAAGGGGCCATAAGAGAGAAAATGGTATGGCGGTTGTTGGTTTGCCAAAGCATTACCAATCAATTGACACAGAATACCACATCAAGCACAAGTAAAGCTCTGTTAGGAGTGGGTGTAGGGCATCAATTACGTTGCGAGAACGTTGATACAACATAATAAGCCACATAAAATGCCAATGATGAGTTGAGTTCAGGTTTTTGGGGACGAGTAAAGGGTTTTCTTATTCTACTCTCTTACCTGTATATGTCCTTGTGTATACCATTGACTAATAGGGGCATTTTGGGTGGTAGTGTATTGCTGGACCTAGCTACACCCCTGTGTAGTTATTTGAGAGTAGACCGTGCATTGATTGAGAGGGAAAAAACAGAAGAGGGGAAAAACAATACAATACGAGAATAACATGAATCTGCTAGAGATAAAATGTTCAGACAAAAATGTAATTCACCAAGAGAGATTTTCATACTATTCTGAGGTAAACGATAGAGCTATTCTGTAATCTATTATAATCTGTTTAAAACCAATATAAACTCTATGTTTTTATGATGTCATGGAGAGTGTGGTAATATTTTGGGCCTATCAGGTGAAAAAAGAAGTCCCTTTGTGTCTGGAACGAATTCATCGGCATTCTAAAACTATATAAAGCTGAATACATGACAAATATGACTTTCACATTTTCCACTTTCTATGCAGATAGACAAAAGCAAACATTGATGCAGTACATTGAATAGGAACACATCACATTAAACAAAAATATTGCCACATGATACATAAAATACACTTTATTTGTCACAACCATAGACTGTAGTATCACTGACCAAGTTAAAATGGAGTTGTTAACATTGAATGACAATGCAAAGAATGATGGGTAATATAATAGAAGAAAGATGGTGGGTAGCTTCGATAACAATCACGTCTCTGGCTTTTTGGTTGTTGTTGTTTTTGTTTACCTGTTTGTGTGCAGGCACTCGGCACTCCCGCCTCGGATAGACCTGTGCATCTCGAGGACCTCACTGTGATTGCCATGGCGATGGGTGAACCGAACAACCAATCAAAAACAACAACGTAAGAGGATGGTCAAATCAGACAAGCCCACTCATGAGAAATGAATGAGAAGAAATCATGAAATCATAATTTTGATTCAGCATCAATAATAATAAATATGATATTAAACTTTTAGTAAGAGACTTTTGCATTAGACTGTTAGTCGTATTAGTAATTATTAGTATAGAACAGTACTAATGTAGCCTGCTATTCCACTTGTCCTTGGAGTATCCAACACTTTCAACCTCAAAAATTAAAAGTTAGTGGTCAACCTCTTTGAAATAATTGGGCATAAAGGAATACTGTTTCTGCAGGTATTTCATTGAAAATGAACAAAATAAGGAGGAAACCATGTCAGCATCTACTCCTATATTGAACTCAAAGCTCTACTCAAATAAGATACTCAAAAGTATATCCATTTTGAACACAAAACACTGGAACCTCACTACATAACCTGCTCACACTCTCTCCCTGTCATAAGTCACCAAACTATTCTCAGACTGGCAGTAACCATAAACTCCCTGATACGGTACCTACAGCATCTAATGTCTAATCTCCTCCCTAATAAACAAAGGCCACCATCCGCCAATGTCTGGGTGACGTTACCTGTCCTCGGAGTACTCGTAGTCCGAGTCCCCAGAGCGGTGCTCCCCGTGGGAGTCATGGTAACGGGAGGGGGAGCAGGAGTGGTGCCGGTTCTGGTGGATCTCATCCAGACTCCTGATGGGGGAGGACATAGAGAGTAGTGTTACTGGTTTTGTCATAGTGTGGACATAAAAGGTAATTGATTTGAGCCATAAGAGTGTGCTGAAGAGTCATCCCTGGGGTATGTGTGTGTGTGTGTGTGTGTGTGTTTGTGAGGGAAAAAAGTATTTGATCCCCTGCTGATTTTGTATGTTTGCCCACTGACAAAGAAATGATCAGTCTATAATTTTAATGGTAGGTTTATTTGAACAGTGAGAGACAGAATAACAACAACAAAATCCAGAAAAACTCATGTCAGAAATATTATAAATTGATTTGCATTTTAATGAGAGAAATAAGTATTTGACCCCTCTGCAAAACATGACTTAGTACTTGGTGGCAAAACCCTTGTTGGCAATCACAGAGGTCAGACGTTTCTTGTAGTTGGACACCAGGTTTGCACACATCTCAGGAGGGATTTTGTCCCACTCCTCTTTGCAGATCTTCTCCAAGTCATAAAGGTTTCGAGGCTGACGTTTGGCAACTCAAACCTTCAGCTCCCTGCACAGATTTTCTATGGGATTATGGTCTGGAGACTGGCTAGGCCACTCCAGGACCTTAATGTGCTTCTTCTTGAGCCACTCCTTTGTTGCCTTGGCCGTGTGTTTTGGGTCATTGTCATGCTGGAATACCCATCCACGACCCATTTTCAATGCCCTGGCTGAGGGAAGGAGGTTCTCACCCAAGTACATGGCCCCGTCCATCGTCCCTTTGATGTGGTGAAGTTGTCCTGTCCCCTTAGCAGAAAAACACCCCTAAAGCATAATGTTTCCACCTCCATGTTTGACGGTGGGGATGGTGTTCTTGGGATCATAGGCAGCATTCCTCCTCCTCCAAACACGGCAAGTTGAGTTGATGCCAAAGTGCTCCATTTTGGTCTCATCTGACCACAACACTTTCACCCAGTTCTCCTCTGAATCATTCAGATGTTCATTGGCAAACTTCAGACGGGCCTGTATATGTGCTTTCTTGAGCAGGGGGACCTTGCAGGCGCTGCAGGATTTCAGTCCTTCACGGCGTAGTGTGTTACCAATTTTTCTTGGCGACTATGGTCCCAGCTACCTTGAGATCATTGACAAGATCCTCCCGTGTAGTTCTGGGCTGATTCCTCACCGTTCTCATGATCATTGCAACTCCACGAGGTGAGATCTTGCATGGAGCACCAGGCCGAGGGAGATTGACAGTTATTTTGTGTTTCCTCCATTTATGAATAATCGCACCAACTGTTGTCACCTTCTCACCAAGCTGCTTGGCGATGGTCTTGTAGCCCATTCCAACCTTGTGTAGGTCTACAATCTTGTCCCTGACATCCTTGGAGAGCTCTTTGGTCTTAGCTATGGTGGAGTGTTTGGAATCTGATTGATTGATTGCTTCTGTGGACAGGTGTCTTTTATACAGGTAACAAGCTGAGATTAGGAGCACTCCCTTTAAGAGTGTGCTCCTAATCTCAGCTCGTTACCTGTATAAAATACACCTGGGAGCCAGAAATCTTTCTGATTGAGAGGGGTCAAATACTTATTTCTCTCATTAAAATGCAAATCAATTTATAACATTTTTGACATGCGTTTTTCTGGATTTTTTTGTTGTTATTCTGTCTCTCACTGTTCAAATAAACCTACCATTAAAATTATAGACTGATCATTTCTTTGTCAGTGGGCAAACGTACAAAATCAGCAGGGGATCAAATACTTTTTTCCCTCACTGTATATATAGAGCGAGAGAGAGCGAGAGAGAGAGAGAGAGCGAGAGAGACAGAGAGAGAAATAAATAAATAATGTAGATGTGTGTGGGTGTAGCATCGTTGAGAACCAGGCGGCGTGACAACAAGGTGTTTCCGATGTATGGCTACGTGAGACTAGTTTAGGTATAACTGTGTGATACAGAAACTGCAGCTACCTCTGCATGGGGACGTGTGCGGGGCGGGAGCGGGCCCTCGTTATGTCCTCGCGGTGAGGGGACACAGATCTGGAGCGGTGCTGGGCCAGTCTCTGCTGCTCTGGGACAGTCAGGGTGCTGTTCCTCTCCCTCTCCCTTGAGTTACGCTCTGCACCTACACACATACAGAGGAGGAATCAGCAGTCGTAGCATGTTACCTGATGACAAAACGTGTCAGTGTTGAGTGCCGCCACTCAACATTCACTACGCCTTCAGGTGAATGCTTAGTTTTCCCAACACTACAGAGATCATGCTGGTGCTCAGCTGCTAATACAGTAGCCCATAGCAGCTCTAGTCTAATCAAACCCATGCCACGTGAGGGAGCTAAGAGGACAAATGATACCGACTGCAAACTGTAGTACATCAGAGCGTGACATTTTACAGTCGAAGTTCCTAGAGGTTTTTTGGTTGCATTTGAAGAGTTTAATTGGATAGTTACACTAGGTATTGAGTCAACTTGTGTACCGGACTGGTTCTGCATTCCACAAAGCTACCCCATTGCCAGCTTGCAATGGCAACTTGGCTGAGGCAGAAACCGTCTGGCACCCAGGCTAGGTAACCTTGTACCCTTTTAAATAGCCAGAACAGCACAGTTCATATTGGCCCTATGGTGTGAATCAGGCACTAGTTTATGCACCGTATCCTTGTATTGTATGGAGTTTCTACTACTTCAGGCTCTATTACTAGACATGCAGGGGACAGCATCAGTGGAATGGACACAGTGACATCATGGCTCCATAGCTCCATGCACTCAGTGCTCCCAGTGGATCTTCTCTACAAGCTGTATTACTACGGTCCAGCAGAGGAGGAGAAAGGCTGTGTACTGTATTATGGCAGAACACATACTAGAATAGAATTGTAGTAATACCATAGTATCGTTGTTGTATACGTTGGTATTACAAAGGGCTGGTAGAAGTACCCCTGTCTGTTTTAAATCCAAGTTCGATCCAAAGTGTGGGGTAAAATTGGGAACCAATGACGTTTTTCCCGCTGTAAACATCTCTGTAGTTGTCAGTTGGGATCAGCTGAAGTAGTCTATGGTTAGAGAGGCCAGATAGGCTGGGGTATGAGGGGAGATATAAAGGGGGTCGCACCTCTCTCCTCCAGTACTGGACTCTCACTACTTGAAGCTCAGTAACAGTAACCATGCCCCCCACCCACCTTCAGACACTACCGTTATACCTGTATCATCAAACTCTGTATCAATGATGCGATGGGACCCTGCACAACGGTGGATAGACACGCACACACACACACACACACACACACACACAGTAGGGTTACACACACTAGGGTAGAGAGTTTACACACAGTTTCCATGGCAGTTGCGATCGATCTCGCACACACAGGAGACAAGTTCATAGGAAGTTCATCAAGGCACACTGGAGCAGGGAAAATCTATATACCAAGGTCAGTGTCAATACAACCCCACACACACACACACACACACACACACACACACATAATGTATATACACACAAACATACACACACACAAACGCACGCATGCATGCAAGCACACACACTCTCGCTCTCTGTCTCTCACACACACACACACAACGAGACATACTCTGTAGTTTCTTGCTGGGGCTGTCGTGAGAGGCGTGTCTGCGTGGGAGATAAGGAGATGGCTGGGGCAGAGGTAGAGAAGACACGTCATGGGTCTGGAGTTTATACCAGTGAGGAACGTCATCCAGCAGGGCAGTCTCCAGCTCTATCAGGATCTAGGAGAAGGAGAGAGAGAGAGAGAGAGAGAGAGAGAGAGAGAGAGAGAGAGAGAGAGAGAGAGAGAGAGAGAGAGAGAGAGAGAGAGAGAGAGAGAGAGAGAGAGGGAAAGGAGGGAAGAAGGAGGAGAGAAAGAAAGATAAAATAAGAGGATGAGAAAAAGAGGACATGATAGCGTGATAGATCTGTGGTTGTCTGTGCATGTTTGAGTTTGCAAGCGTGTGCGGATACATGTAAATGAATGTGTGTGTGTTTTGTTTTTCTGTGTATACTGTATGTATATGAAGAGTTTCCTTCCAAAATGCAATATATCCATTTTTTAAAATTTGGTCAATTTGCTTTTATTGTTTAAAGAAATTATGAAAGAGATCTTATCCAGAATGACTTACAGTAAGTGCATTTATCTTAAGATTGCTAGGTAAGACAACCACATATCACAGTAAAATATACAGGATACGAACATTCCATTCCAGCTAAACAATGGGTATATAGCATTTTGCGAAACAGCAAAAAATTCATACACATCTAAAATCTATTAATTAGAAATCTGAGAACAGTAATAATTTACACACAAATGAAGGTATAATTTCTGCCGATGTCATTGTTAATTCAACATGCACACGCACACGCACACAATCATTTCTGATTAAAAAACATTGGAAAAATTGGTGGATATAGCGTTTTGGAAATAAACTCTTCACATGTACTATAAACAGTATGTATGTGTGTGTGTGTGTGTATGTATGTATGTATGTATGTATGTGTGTGTGTGTGTGTGTGCATGCGTGCGTGCATGCGTGTGTGTGTGTGTGTGTGTGGGTATCTTACCTCTCCCAGGAAGTCACTCTCCTCCTCCTGTATTCTAGGTTGGTCCCAGACAGTGATCTCCAGCATGCGTTCTCTGAAGTCCCTGCGGTGGACGTGGGAGTACAGGAACGTCTGGTTCCACTTGGGCTCAGCGCTCTTCTTTACTGTCTTGGTCCTGCGCTTGCTCTTATCACTGGGAACATGACAGGGGAGAAGACAGAGGAATGTTAGGAGTAAGAAGACAAACCTTAGAAGGAGAGTCAAAGAAAGTCAGTGAGTCATGTATGTATCTCTCACATACTGTACCCATATAAGGGTCTGTGACTCACTACAAGGATGGTGAAATATAACAGAAAACTACATAGTCAGGAAGCATATCGGAAGAGAACGTTTTGACAGTGTGTTTAAGGTATATTGGTTACTGTTACATTAAAAAACGATCAGTTTATGTACAATGTTGAACTACTATCCTGGTAATATACTTCAGTTATTACTGTGTGTTTACACAGGTATAAGAGCAGATTAATGTTAACCCTAGTAATATGAGAATGGTTTACCTTCGATCAGGGAGGAAGTACATCTTGACGTAAGGGTTCCTTGGTCGCCCGTCCAGTCGGGGGGGCAGGTCTATGGCTTGAAGGACGTTGACGATCAGTTGATGGCCCACTTTGTCATACCACAGCTTTACCTAGCAACAACATCATCGGATTAGATGAATGTGACTGAATGAATCCAGTTAGAGTAGCCCATTGGTTGTGGATTATAAAGTCATATAGGACATTGTGAAAAGTGCAATATAGGCCATCTAGGAAATCTGGATGACTGTTTGTCTGTAAATCCATCCATGCATCACCCCCCACCACCCACCCATTCATCCATCCATCCGCATGATCCAAAATGGTCTAGTATAGTCCAGTCAAGTCCAGTATAGTCCAGTAAAGTCCAGTGTAGATCCAGTATAGAGCAGTCAAGTCCAGTGTAGATCCAGTATAGAGCAGTCAAGTCCAGTGTAGATCCTGTATAGAGCAGTCAAGTCCAGTGTAGATCCAGTATAGTCCAGTGTAGATCCAGTATATATCCAGTACTCACATACAGCTGTCCAGGCAGGATGATGGGGAGGGCTCTGAGGGTAGCAGGGCTGGTGGGGGACATGACCGATATGGAGGGACGCTCCATCTTCTGAGACTCAAAGGAACTGGAGCCCGCTGGCAGGCGAAAGAACCAGGATGTAAAAGACTCAAACAGTACTGTATCTTCACACCAATGAACTATACCGTATTGTTCTTCAAGGAAAAGCCAAGCTTTGATGACACTTACTCGATTCTAAAGGAGGATGTGATGTTTCTGGAATTCTTGGTATGTCTCTGTGAGATGGGAGGAAGATTACATCAAATGTCTGAGCACACTACTGCAATAGCCGTTGACCAACAGTCATCACCAATCCTCATTTGAGACAGAGTGCCAGCACATACAATACCTCAATTGTATGTTTGTTTGTATCAAAAAGGAAAAACACAGACACGTACACACACTGCTACAAACTGGGTGTTGGGTTAGAGAAGGGTAGTTCATACCCACACAGGAGAGAGATTCATGGGTGAAGAGAAGAGACAGAACTTGTCTTATAAGGGTCTCTCTAAGGTCTAGGAGGTTAGGGTTCATTCAGGGTTTGGCCTCAGGGAAGGACTACTGTATGACATAGTGGTCACTATGTCTACAATACATATGTACTTACTGATATGCTCTATACACCTTTCTCAAGAAGTTATTGGAAATGATGCGGTGGATAGATCTTTTAGATAAAGAAGACAATGGCCATAAACATTTCACTTCAAAATTAGATATAGTCAGAAAATGACAAACAACAGTCGCACTATAGTAATAATAGTCCAAAATGGTCACACAGTGCAAAACAGACACACAATAGTTGCAGTGTATCACACAACGATCACGAAATGGGAATTTAGCATTTCACACAGTAAGTCCGTCTCACCCAATAGGCCTTGAGACGACTATTTCCACTTGAGGCTCCGCCTTGGATTCCAGAATGATGTTGTACACTTCCTTCTTGGTTGCTCCCGGCAATGACTTCCCGTTCCACTGCAGTACCTCATCACCTGGAAAACAGGAAACAAGATGGCCGAAATTAAAACAGCTGATTCATGGGTAAGCATGGAGCCTAGGTTAAAGATAACAAAGGTTAAGACAACGTAATAATTCCATGCGCCAGTGTTAGAAAATAAGCAAAATCATTGGACCAGCGCCGGAGTGCAAATGACTGGAAGTGAATGTTAGCGGTACAGAAACTTCACCATCAAAGTGGAAAATAAACATAATCGTAGTGTACTCAGCAAACACAAAGCAAACACAAAGCATTCTATTCATTTCAATGTTTTTCCAATGATCTACAGCCACGTTATTACTTGTTGCCCCGACCGCTGGTCACGTTTTCAATGCTAATCCTGTAGAATCAGCAACAGCGCTGGTCCAATGAATGTGAATATTTTCTAACACTGGCGCATGGAATTATTACGTTGTCTTAACCTCTATTTTTTCAAGCTAGCCTGGAGCTTTACTGAACGACCTCTGTTCACAACACAAACGGTGTTCAGGTAGAAATCTTAGATTTTCGCAGCTGAAAAATAACACACAGACAATCTCACAGAGCTACCAGACTGATGTGCAACATTTCTCCAGCAGATAACCTGAATGTTTTTTCTACGTTGCTTACCAGCTCGTAGGTGGCCAACAATGTCCGCCAGACTTCCTTTCTTGACTTTGGTGATGAAGGCCCCAAGTCTCCCTGTCTCTGTCATCTTCCCACCCACAACCTAGAAGGAAAACAGAACAAGGGCAATTCAGACCCAAGACCAAGCGCTCAGTACATAGAGATAAGTGTAATTCAAATACCACCCCTTGTGTTCAGTGCCAGTATTACCAAATATCCTGGGATGGTACAAGGTCAGTATGAAGGTATGACAATCTGGATACAGCCCCAGCCTAGTAAAAATCTAAAGTATGTCCCTATAGTTACCTTCATCATACACTTCCTTGGATAGTACATCACCTACATCATTTAGCAGACACTCTTATCCAGATCAACTTACAGGAGCAATTAGAGTTAAAGTGCCTTACTCAAGGGCACATCAACAGGTTTTTTGCCCATCTAGTTGGCTCGGGGATTCAAACCAGCAACCTTTCGGTTACTGGCACAACGCACTTAACCGCGAGGCTACCTAATCTGGAGGTCAGATGTTAGAGACCCGGGTGGGCTCAGTACACAGGGATACACAGTGGTTAGCGAGGTAGTTTGTCCATACGTCCTTTATCATACACATCCTTTGACAATACACAATCATAAATCTGAGCATGGGGTTCAGAGGTCATACACCCAATGGTCTCAGTACACAATATAAAGCGGTTAATGTGGTAATACTATAGTAATTGAAAGGGATGGCGCTAGTGATTCCCTCTTACCTTTAGCCCTAGTAAGGAGCCTGCCTCGCGGGGCATGGCCGACCTTTTACTCAGAGTGATGCGTCCGATTAAGTGGTCGCCCTCCTTGGACGGCTGCCATGTCACTGGATGCTGTAGGGGGGAGTAGAGGAGAGGGGGAGATTTAATCCCATCAGACAGAGAAAGAGGCAAAAAGGGATAGATGGAGGGGAAATAGGTAGAGACAGAGAGGGAGAGATGGAGAGATGGAGGGGGGAGTGGTAGAGAGGGGATATAGGTAGAGACAGAGAGGGAGAGATGGAGGGGAGAGTGGTAGAGAAGGAATATGGGTAGAGACAGAGACAGAGAGGGAGAGATTGAGAGATGGAGGGGGGGAGTGGTAGAGAGGGGATATAGGTATAGACAGAGAGGGAGAGATGGAGAGGGGGGAGTGGTAGAGAGGGGATATACAGTGGGGGAAAAAAGTATTTAGTCAGCCACCAATTGTGCAAGTTCTCCCACTTAAAAAGATGAGAGAGGCCTGTAATTTTCATCATAGGTACACGTCAACTATGACAGACAAAATGAGGAAAAAAAATCCAGAAAATCACATTGTAGGATTTTTAATGAATTTATTTGCAAATTATGGTGGAAAATAAGTATTTGGTCAATAACAAAAGTTTCTCAATACTTTGTTATATACCCTTTGTTGGCAATGACACAGGTCAAACGTTTTCTGTAAGTCTTCACAAGGTTTTCACACACTGCTGCTGGTATTTTGGCCCATTCCTCCATGCAGATCTCCTCTAGAGCAGTGATGTTTTGGGGCTGTCGCTGGGCAACACAGACTTTCAACTCCCTCCAAAGATTTTCTATGGGGTTGAGATCTGGAGACTGGCTAGGCTACTCCAGGACCTTGAAATGCTTCTTACGAAGCCACTGCTTCGTTGCCCGGGCGGTGTGTTTGGGATCATTGTCATGCTGAAAGACCCAGCCACGTTTCATCTTCAATGCCCTTGCTGATGGAAGGAGGTTTTCACTCAAAATCTCACGATACATGGCCCCATTCATTCTTTCCTTTACACGGATCAGTCGTCCTGGTCCCTTTGCAGAAAAACAGCCCCAAAGCATGATGTTTCCACCCACATGCTTCACAGTAGGTATGGTGTTCTTTGGATGCAACTCAGCATTCTTTGTCCTCCAAACACGACGAGTTGAGTTTTTACCAAAAAGTTCTATTTTGGTTTCATCTGACCATATGACATTCTCCCAATCCTCTTCTGGATCATCCAAATGCACTCTAGCAAACTTCAGACGGGCCTGGACATGTACTGGCTTAAGCAGGGGGACACGTCTGGCACTGCAGGATTTGAGTCCCTGGCGGCGTAGTGTGTTACTGATGGTAGGCTTTGTTACTTTGGTCCCAGCTCTCTGCAGGTCATTCACTAGGTCCCCCCCGTGTGGTTCTGGGATTTTTGCTCACCGTTCTTGTGATCATTTTGACCCCACGGGGTGAGATCTTGCGTGGAGCCCCAGATCAAGGGAGATTATCAGTGGTCTTGTATGTCTTCCATTTCCTAATAATTGCTCCCACAGTTGATTTCTTCAAACCAAGCTGCTTACCTATTGCAGATTCAGTCTTCCCAGCCTGGTGCAGGTCTACAATTTTGTTTCTGGTGTCCTTTGACAGCTCTTTGGTCTTGGCCATAGTGGAGTTTGGAGTGTGACTGTTTGAGGTTGTGGACAGGTGTCTTTTATACTGATAACAAGTTCAAACAGGTGCCATTAATACAGGTAACGAGTGGAGGACAGAGGAGCCTCTTAAAGAAGAAGTTACAGGTCTGTGAGAGCCAGAAATCTTGCTTGTTTGTAGGTGACCAAATACTTATTTTCCACCATAATTTGCAAATAAATTCCTAAAAAATCCTACAATGTGATTTTCTGGATTTTTTTTTCTCAATTTGTCTGTCATAGTTGACGTGTACCTATGATGAAAATTACAGGCCTCTCTCATCTTTTTAAGTGGGAGAACTTGCACAATTGGTGGCTGACTAAATACTTTTTTTCCCCACTGTAGGTAGAGACAGAGAGGGAGAGGTGGAGAGGGGGGAGTGTTAGAGAGGGGATATAGGTAGAGACAGAGGCAGAGAGGGAGAGATGGAGGGGGGAATGGTAGAGAGGGGTTATAGTAGAGACAGAGAGGGAAATGAAAGAGATGGAGAGGGGAGTGGTAGAGAGGGGATATAGTAGAGACAGAGAGGCGAATGGAGGGGAGTGTTTATGTAGAGGGGATATAGGTAGAGACAGAGGGGAGATGGAGGGGGGGAGTGGTAGAGAGGAATATAGGTAGAGACAGAGAGGGAGAGTGGAGGGGGGGAGGGGTTTAGAGAGGGATATAGGTAGAGACCAGAGAGGGAAGATGGAGGGGGGGGATGGTAGAGAAGGAATATGGTAGAGACAGAGACAGAGAGGGAGAGATTGAGAGATGGAGGGGGGTTGTTTAAGATGGGATATAGGTTAGAGACAGAGGCAGAGAGGGAGAGATGGAGAGGTGTAGAGTGTATAGAGGGGATATAGGTAGAGACAAGAGGGAGAGATGGAGGGGAGAGTGGTTAGAGAGGGGATATAGGTAGAGACAGAGGCAGAGAGGGAGAGATGAAGGGGAGAGTGGTAGAGAGGGGATATAGGTAGAGACAGAGGCAGAGAGGGAGAGATGGAGGGGAGAGTGGTAGAGAGGGGATATAGGTAGAGACAGAGGCAGAGAGGGAGAGATGGAGGGGGGGAATGGTAGAGAGGGGATATAGGTAGAGACAGAGGCAGAGAAGAAGAGATGGAGGGGGGAGTGGTAGAGAGGGGATATAGGTAGAGACATAGAGGGAGAGATGGAGGGTGTGAAAGGTAAAACGAGTGAGAGAGAGAAAGAAAAACAACTCTCCCATCCATGCCAACTAGGACAGCCTTGCCCATCCACAATAAACACATACTATATCAATTTACACTCTAAGCAATTCTGTCTAGACTGGACTGTTTATAATGTTGTAAAAATCTATATTTAGCAATGAATGGTGGGTAGAGTACGCCTACACACTTACTCACTACGGGAAATGGACCTAGTAGGGCATAATGTGTGTGTGTGTGTGTGTGTGTGTGTGTGTGTGGTGTGTGTGTGTGTATGTGTGTGCATGCATTTGTCTATGCATGCATGTATGTGTGTGTGTGTCTGTGTGTGTGTGTGTGTGTGTGTGTGTGTTTGTGTGTGTGTGTGTGTGTGTGTGTTCGTATGTGTGTGTGTGTGTGTGTGTGTGTGTGTGTGTGTGTGTGTGTGTGTGTGTGTGTGTGTGTGTGTGTGTGTGTGTGTGTGTGTGTGTGTGTGTGTGTGTGTGTGTGTGTGTGTGTGTGTGTGTGTGTGTGTGTGTGTGCCTAGGGGGGTGAGTCTGAGTTGAGTCAGCTTAAGCAAAACCTAAATCTGTCACTTTCTCCTGAAACTTACATGCCACACAGCAGGATCCAGAGGATGGCAGTCCCAATCACCTGGAGAGAGAGAGAGAGAGCAGAATTAGTCCGATAACCGCTAATTATCAAAATCCAGAAAAAAGCCGTTAAATTCTATAACCACTTAAAAGGAAGCGATTCCCAAACCTTCCATTACAAAGCCATCACCTACAGAGAGATGAACTTGGAGAAGAGTCCCCTAAGTAAGCTTGTCCTGGGGCTCTGTTCACAAACACAAACAGACCCCACACAGCCCCAGGACAACAACAACTACAACAGCACAATTAGACCCAACCAAATCATGAGAAAACAAAAAGAGAATTACTTGACACATTGGAAAGAACAAACAAAAAAACAGAGTAAACTAGAATGCTATTTGGCCCTAAACAGAGAGTACACAGTGGCAGAATACCTGACCACTGTGACTGACGCAAACTTAAGGAAAGCTTTGACTATGTACAGACTCAGTGAGCATAGCCTTGCTATTGAGAAAGGCCGCCGTAGGCAGACCTGGCTCTCAAGAGAAGACAGGCTATGTGCACACTGCCCACAAAATGAGGTGGAAACTGAGCTGCACTTCCTAACCTCCTGCCAAATGTATGACCATATTAGAGACACATATTTCCCTCAGATTACAGCGATCCACAAAGAATTCGAAAACAAACCCAATTTTGATAAACTCCCTTATCTACTGAAAAACCACAGTGTGCCATCACAGCTGCAAGATTTGTGACCTGTTGCCACAAGAAAAGGGCAACCAGTGAAGAACAAACACCATTGTAAATACAACCCATATTTATGTTTATTTATTTTCCCATTTGTTCTTTAACTATTTGCACATTGTTACAACACTGTATATATACATAATTTGACATTTGAAATGTCTTTATTCTTTTGAAACTTCTGAGTGTAATGTTTACTGTTAATATTGATTGTTTATTTCACTTTTGTTTACTATCTACATTGCTTTGCCAATGTTAACACACGTTTCCCATGCCAATAAAGCCCTTAAATTGAAATTGAATTAAAATTGAGAGAGAGAGAGAGAGAGAGAGAGAGAGAGAGAGAGAGAGAGAGAGAGAGAGAGAGAGAGAGAGAGATTGACACAGGCAGATAGATTAGATAAACAGAACGAGAGAGAGAGTTTGAGATGGAGAGAGAGTGAGAGAGAGAGAGCGAATGAGGCAGATAAGATAAACAGAAAGAGATAGAGTTAGAGATGGAGAGAGTGTGAGAGAGAGAGAGAGAGAGAGAGGTAAAAGCAAAACCGAGAAAGTCTGTTTCAGTCTCCGTTAGACTAAGTCAACTCAGTCCAACACCCAGGACACAAGGGGACAAATTGGGTCCTTGTCTGTCTGTCGCCCAACTCTCATTACCAGCCATACTGACAGATGGTGGAGAGACAGAGAGACTGGAGAATGGCCACACTTCAGTCCAGACCAGCTCTACCCATCGACTCAGTCCCACACGTCCTCCAAAGCCTCATACCTCCTTCAAGGCCTCATCCACCCTTTTAAGTCTTCAATGGATGACGTCAACAGAATAGCAGAATGACATTAGATGGGGACTTTGGTGTATTTCTTTAGAAATAGTGACAAGTCCCTGAACCTACAGCACTGACCATAGCTACCTTGGACACTGATCAGAGATGTGTGTATGAAGAGCTAAGGGAAAGTGAGTGGTCAGGAGCGGAGGGAGGATGGAGGGGGGTCAAGTTGAGGGATGCAATTCAACTGTTTGCTGACTTCGAAAGTGAGATCTAAAAAATGTAAAGCGCAATCTGAAATGTTGTGCAATGGGGGAACTACTTCAAAACATTCCTGCTGACTCCTCGATTCAAAGCGCTGACTGTTCCTTTTTCTGTTTTTAGCAGATGAATATTGTACATCAGATAATAACAAAATCTGGAGAACTTATTTTCTGGGTGCAATACTAACGTGCTAATAATAACTATTGGTGATGAATGTTTAGATATTCAAAATCGACCTCTACTGTATGTACTAGTAAAACTCAGGTCAAATGGTCACAGTTACAAAAACATAGAGAATTTGGAGACTATCCCCTCTCATCCTGAATCTATTTATATTAACAGGGATAAATTTGGTCAATGTTAGAGGCTGATCCAGGTTCAGATTTAACTTGACCCTGACCCTGTAGTGAGGTCTGATATCACCGCTGCAGGTTTTACACTAATCTGACAGGAATTGACAATCCTTCTGTGAATAATGTATTTGATCCATAACGATGTATCACAGTGTTATTACATACAGTACCAGTCAAGGGCTTTTCTTTATTTTTACTATTTTCTACATTGTAGAATAATAGTGAAGACATCAAAACTATGAAATAACACATATGGAATGTGTTGGGATAAAGTATTGATGTTGTAGATGGGTATATGATGTTGTAGGTGGAATCACTCTGCGGAACAGCTCAAAAAAGCAAAGAGAAACGACAGTCCATCGTTACTTTAAGAAATGAAGGTCAGTCAATACAGAACATTTCAAGAACTTTGAACGTTTCTTCAAGTGCAGTCGCAAAAACCATCAAGCGCTATGATGAAACTGATTCTCATGAGGACCGTCACAGGAATGGAAGACCCAGAGTTACCTCTGCTGCAGAGGATAAGTTAATCAGAGTTACCAGCCTCAGAAATAGCAGCCCAAAGAAATGCTTCAAAGAGTTGAAGTAACAGACACATCTCAACATCAACTGTTCAGAGGAGACTGTGTGAATCAGGCCTTCATGGTCGAATTGCTGCAACAACAAAAAAACACTACTAAAGGACACCAATAAGAAGAAGAGACTTGCTTGGGCCAAGAAACACGGGCAATGGACATTGTCTGTGTGAGACGCGGTGTGGGTGAACGGATGATCTCCTCATGTGTATTTCCCACCGTAAATCATGGAGGAGGAGGTCTTATGGTGTGGGGGTGCTTTGCTGGTGAGACTGTATGTGATTTATTTAGAATTCAAGGCACACTTAACCAGCATGGCTACCACAGCATTCTGCAGCGATACGCCATCCCATCTGGTTTGGGCTTAGTGGGACTATTATTTATTTTTCAACAGGATAATGATCCAACACACCTCCAGGCTGTGTAAGGGCTATTCTACCAAGAACGAGAGTGATGGAGTGCTGCATCAGATGACCTGGCCTCCACAATCCCCCAACCTCAACCCAATTGAGATGGTTTGGGATGAGTTGGACCGCAGAGTGAAGGAAAAGCAGCCAACAAGTGCTCAGCATATGTGGGAACTCCTTCAAGACTGTTGGAAAGCATTCCAGGTGAAGCTGGTTGGGAGAATGCCAAGAGTGTGCAAAACTGTCATCAAGGCAAAGGGTGGCTATTTGAAGAATCTCAAATATCAAATATATTTTGATTTGTTGAACACTTTTTTGGTTACCACATGATTCCATATGTGTTATTTCATAGTATTGATGTCTTCACTATTATTCTACAATGTAGAAAATAGTAAAAATAAAGAAAAGCCCTTGAATGAGTAGGCGTTCTAAAACTTTTGACTGGTACTGTACATTATACTGTACATTATAGTGTTCTATTTAATTCTGTGATTTGATCTGAAGGAGGTCATCAGGAGGTCATCGCAGATGGATAGGCCTACCAACACAAACACACACTGCCTAAAAACACACTTAAGAAATAGCATCAATACTAAAATGAACTCACGTCTGATTTCTCCTGTAATTTCCTCCTTACTGTATTATATTCCACTACTTGACACCTTCGAAGAAGCCAACCAATCAGATTGGCTGAATCCCTAGTTTAACTGTAAACAGTAAACTCTTAGCTCCTTATTCAATCCCAAAATACACTCTTAGCTCCTAAACCAATCCCAAATGCATCTTTAAATAGATTAATAATTTCATAAAGGCGTCACCCTTGGGCTTTTAAAAAGGCCCAATATAGCCTAGCCTACATCAGGAGCGTATTCAAACTGCCAACCTCCCGACAACATATTATACTACGTGGCATAAAAGTTTTACTATCTCATTTGACCTGTTTGATTGCACCAGTAAAGCTGTCTCGCAGGTCTACTAAATAGCATGTAAAGTATGTTTGGAGTGTATCCGCGCCCTCGCTAACAATTTGGAGCTGTAAATGAAAACACACAACAACACGGAAGTTGACCGAACTGCCTTTTGATTAACCAACCATATACCCATCTACAACATCAATACTTATCCCAAAATAATAGAATGAAGCAATATTTATTGGACATACATTCTAAGTGGTGTAGCATGGATATTGGAACATTGTCCTCATGACCCAAGGCTTTCAAAGCTGAGTTACACTTCACATAGCTACATTTAGCATTTAGCCTTGTCCAGTTACTGAGTTTGTTTACCGCAGACAACATCAAAAGTAAATCCCATGCAGGATTGGGACTGGCGTACTCCTAAAGCAAACACTGCTAAACACTTGCTAGCTACGACAGCTAACTTTTGAACTATTCCTCCACCTGTCGCCCCCATTGAACATCCTATTCCCATCGGCACTGTTGCCGGCCGGCGTGAGCGAACAAGGGGCCAAAACTGAACATGTGGCCGGCCACAATGGTGACACCCAAACTAGATTCTATCCGTTAACAGCAGGCTGCAGCCGGTGTTTGGCAGGGAAGCTTTACGTAGCGTTAGCCACGCTAGCCGCTGACCTAATTCTGCCAAATCTGCTGGCCTAAATCACAGGACGTTTCCTAAATAAAAGAGAGCTGTCCTGTCCTGTCCCAGGACGGGAAGCAATAGGGGTTTAGCTACAGAGGTGTGGGTGAATGACAGTTGTACCGAGATGTCAAGGCTATAGCACATTATAGACAGGGAGATAGAGTCCCAGTAAGCTTTGAAATGTACATTTGATTTGTTTATTTTGACGGAAACCTACAGCAAAGTGATTTTGATAACAAAAAAGTTAAGAAAGAATATTGCATTAGTAGCGACACCCGACAGGTGACCATAAAACCATCAACTCTAATAAAAGTTTGATCGTTCCACCAATGTCGAAATCTCTGACAATCTCTGACAATGCTGACACAAAATCAGCTAATATAGATGATTCGATCTGATAGAAAGCTGAATAATCGGACCTTTCTTGCTGACACGCTCCATACAGGTAGCCATAACACCAACTCAACACAGATGTGATCATTCTTCTAATGTTGAAATATCTGAATACATTACCAATCATACTGACGCTCTCCATGTCCACGTCTTCACAGCTGGTGTACTCGGGCGTGGAGCCGCCCTCCTCCTCTGAGCTGCTGATAGACATCTGCCTCTTGTTGACACCCCGTTTGCTCTTGTAGGGCCTGGGTGGGGGCGGCCGCAGCGACTCCGACTGGTCCGAGCTCTGGGAGTCCTTCCGCAGCAGGCTCTCCCCAGACTTCTCCCTCCTGGCCTTGTGCATCATGGCTGCCTGGGAGTTGGGGTCCAGCTGGCTGGGGTGGGGTACCTTAGGGGGGTCCCAACCTGCTGGAGGGGGTGGTCCTTGGTGGGGGTGAGGAGCACCAGGATGGGGGCCCGGTCGTGGGCCAACACCGGATGGTTGAAGGGGTCCGTGGTTCTGGTTCTGTTTGAGGAGGTGGGGACCTCCCTGGGGTCCCTGCCCCATTCCGCCACCCCCACCACCCCCCACGGTCCTGTCCATGGAGTAGGCCCGGTGGTTCTCCATGGATGCCTTGCGGTCCGGTTCTCCACCACCACCGCCGCCCCTCCGGAGACGATTCTCAGGTACATCCCCCATGTTCCCTCCCCCGCCCTCCAGCCCCACCTCATTGATGGCGTTGTTGCTGTGGCGCCGCTCGTGGCGGACCTTTGACACCTTGGCATGCATGCGCATCTCCTGCTCCTCCTTCTGCGGCTTGACCGGGTAGCGCGCCAGGTTGGGGTCGCTGCGGTAACGCGTCTGGAACTCCTCCTCCTGGCGCCGCTTGCGTTCCAGCTCATCCTCCTCCGGGGGGCGTCTCCGGAGGTCGGGGCGATTCCCTTGGTCGCCGCCGTCGGGGTAGTCATGGGAGCGGACCTTCTCCAGGTGCCGGCCGTCCCGCCGGTCTCTGTCCCCGGGACCGCAGAACTCCTCCTGGGAAGCCACGGTTTGAAGCTTGCCTGGGGGTCCCCGGCCTCCTCTACCACGACCCACACCACCAGGCTTACCGTTCTGTTCATGGAGGGACACAGGTCTTTTCCTGAAGAGAAAAGAAGGATGAAGGGTAACCATAATGGACATTGATATAACATAACACACTTTATGTTTTGTTAACATAATACCATGTAGTAACATAGAAAACAAGCCTTCTCAGATATCCTGGACAAATTATGGTGAGTACCAGTTATTACTGGTTAAATGAAAGCAATGATGATAAAGACAGGGAAATAATTCAAAATGGAGGAATATGTACTGAACTAAAATGAGATTCTATTTCCATGGGAACATGTTCCTAACCTGGGTATGGATCATCCAACAACAGTTTTGAATAGGGACAGCATTTTGAGTGATGCATTCAGACCGGACTGAAATGGACTCACCCATGAGATGGAAAAATATATTAATCATGGACCTTTCAAGAATAAAACGTGTAACCCAGCTTCTGCTTTGGCTAAGCTAGGACAGCACTACTTTTTTTTGATCCAGTGGGGATTAAAAAATCAACTGCTGCAACCCATATACCACAACACACACCGAAAATGGGTCGCTCCCGACATGAGAGGATTTGAGTTCTTGTCAAATGCGGAAAAAATGTGACCAAAGTATGTCCAAGGTTGAATGAGACTACATGTGTAATCTGACAGTGTCAACAAGACACTGTTAGACAAAACAGATGCTGTATTAGCCTAATTCATCCAATCACAACAAAGTAAAATACATTAAAGAGGACTAACTTGTACACAACTAAAATGTACAACAATAAAAATACCCTATATAAAAGCTACTATATCATCTAAAAGAGGTCCAGGCCTAGATACTCAATAACTAGATACAGTCCCAAAATGTTTTGCATGTCAGCAATCAAGTGTTCAAGATATAGGACTATCAAAAAGCAAATTGTAACTTGCCACATCATCATGATGATGCAAAATTCATCATATGAAGAAGAAACTAATACCAAAATATATTTTTTGAGAGGATTATTCCTTTAAGCGTCTAAAATCAACGGGATTAAGGGCAGGTGATAATAGTAGAGTGTATCAGAGAATGTCTTGTACAACGTGGCATTTACAATAATACAAAGGCCCCTAGATATCCAATACAGTGACGTAGACTCTGATTTGAGCCTCTACAGCCAGAGAGGTACAAACAGGGATCGTGAGAGGACAGGTGATAGTGTTTTAGGGATTAGAGTGTTTGTGTCGACGATGTCCTACTTGTCTCGTGGTGGTTCGCTCCGAGCGCGTGACGCCGGCATGGTGTCCAACGCTCCCTTGGCCAATACCGTTGGTGGCTGGTGCGTTCCGTCGGGCGCCGCCCCTGCGTTACCGCTGGAAGAGGGCGGGGCCTGGGACCTGGAGCGGAGTAGCTTCCTGTCCCCCCGTTGGGCGTCACCCCCCGTGGGCGGGGCGTTCAGGCCGCCATCCAGGCTCATCTGCCTCGGCTCCGGCCCCGAAAACCATTCTCCCGATTTGGTGAGGATCTCCTGTTGCTTACGGCACAGGTTGCATACCCACATTACCTACAGGGGTGAAGGAGGAGAGGAGGAGGTTAGCGCTTATATACATGTACAGTATGCAGTAGTAGCCTATATCTACAGAGAGAAAGAGAGCAGGGTCAATTCCATTTCCAATTCCAATTTTCGTAATTGAAAAGCAAACCCTGAATTGAATGAATTGAAATGGAATTGACCCCAACCAACAGAGAAAGTATAATACTATACAATACCTTAATACTATAGTCATCTAATTCTATTTCTATGAGGTTAACATTAGAACACTCCTGGGGTTGCAGATGTTGTCATATATTCATTGCAGTCCACTTTTGAAGGAACTGTCATCTCTAGCCCATGTGCAAAACAGACTCAGTCATGAGGCAGAGAAATGTTAGTTTAGCTTGGAATCTTTTCGACAGACAACAGGTCATTGTTATACAGGCAAGGAAAGGGCAGGACTGGTGACAGAATTACAAACAGACACGGACAGATAGAGGATCTTAGTAAGACACAAGCAACTATTAGTCAGTGTTCTGTTCTTTCTCATGGTCTATTTTAGTCTATTGACTCTGATTGAGTATTGGTGATAGCTCATCCGTCAGACAGGGGATAGAGGTTTCCTAAAATACCCTAGTATCCCACACACTATCCCCTTCCCTTCCATCCCCCAGCCTCCCCCTCTCCTTAGCCTCTTCCTACAGATTGCTGCAGATAAAAAATTAAAGGCCACATGGTTGCAGATATGGAGGGAGCCAGAGTGCACCATTTCACTATGTCCATTTTCGATAGAAAACTGGGCCTAGCCTGTAGCCTGATATCCCAATATACACTGAGTATACAAAACTCTTTCCATGACATAGACTGACCAGGTGAATGCAGGTGATAGCTATGATCCCTTATTGATGTCACTTGTTAAATCCACTTCAATCAGTGTAGATGAAGGGGAGGAGACAGGTTAAATAAGGATTTTTTTTTTGAGACAGTTGAGACATGGATTGTGTATGTGTGCCATTCAGAGGGTGACTGGGCAAGACAAAAGATTTAAGTGCCTTTGAACGGGGTATGGTAGTAGGTGACAGGCGCACCGGTTTGTGTGAAGAATTGCAACACTGCTGGGTTTTTCACTCTCAACAGTTTCCCGTGTGTATCAAGAATGGTCCACCACCCAAAGGACATCCAGACAACTTGACACAACTGTGGGAAGCATTGGAGTCAACATGGGACAACATCCCTGTGGAATGCTTTCGACACCTTGTAGAGTCCATGCCCCAACTAATTGAGGCTGTTCTGAGGGCAAAAAGGCTGCAACTCAATGTTCTTAATGTTTTATACACTCATTGTAGGTTACAATGCTCTCTGTGAAATATCACAGAATTTTACTTACACATTAGGATACAGCCCAAAAAATCTGTTCTATTTTGATCACAAATGTGTAATAATACTGTTACTACTAGAGAAAGTTCAACATATTCTACAAGGCTACAAATGTTTAAAAGGTGATCCAATATGAACGCAGTATCTAGTTAAACAGAGTAGGCTTGATATGGATGGGATGTTGTTACCATGGAGAAAGCAGTAGCCTGTTGCTTATGGCGGACAAGGCTGTTAATCTCCCACAGCGGATGATGGCACAGAACATTAACTGGCCAGCAAGGAAAGCCAGCTACAATATCCACCATCCACCAAAAGCTATTTATTGTTCGACAACAGGTACCAGAACAACATTTGTAATTCAATAACTTCCCTGAGCAAATGGTTACAGTATAGGCCCTGCAGAAAAGATGAGAGCTAGGAAATTGAGGACAACTATCTGAACATAACACTGTGGAAGACCATGACTTGAGAGGACAAGTCACATATTTACAGGTGCATCTAATGACTGCTGTTCACAATAGTAAAAAAAATTAAAAATAAATAATAATAATATGAAATGGTCTACTGTTGATAAAAATCATTGGTCAACTCAAGTCAGCTATTTGACCGTCCTACAAACAACAACCCCAAATGGAACAACAGCAACATCAAAGAAAGGTTCCATACTCACATGTAGCCATGGCTACTGAAAATCGCCTCCCTCCCAACGCAAAGAAAAACAGATTTATCTCTTCTCGAGTGTATAATCCCACGGTCTAGAATAATGCTATAAATCCAAAGTGGAGGGAAAGTACTATTCCTTGTATTATCGTTTAGAAGTCTTTGTTTGCATCCCAAAACACGACCTTATGGGAAACCTGCTCTTTGATGGAGGGTTGGTCGAATGGACAGTTAGTTTAGCAGTCAGCTTGGGGTTAGCTTTTTTAGCGAACCGGCGCGCATCATGCATACTCTGATTGAATCCTCTGTTTGGCTCGAGGCCACACTAATCTAAAGTAAATCAGCTGTGTGCAGCTGCGGCCCACAGCTGTTGGGCTGGACACACACACATACAGTTGCGCTGATACACACACCTCTCTCTCTCGCTCTCTCTCTCTCTCTCTCTCAGAGTAGACAGCCGCTAATCCCCTCAGCTCTTCACCATTATTCAACATTATTATCAGTAAGAACAATACCCGTCAGCCGATTTCAGATACAGCCGTGCGCAAGGCAGCTAGGCTATGCTACCGCTAAACCATATAATCCTTATACTCCCTCCCCTTCATTATTCAGCTGTTTGGGGATTATCATTATCAATCATTCAGAGTGCATTCTGGGAAATCCCTTTTTATCAGGCCAGGAATGTAAAGTGTATATTAGGTAGGCCTATAGTGACAGTATTAAGGCCATAATTTCAAATATTCATCTAGGGATGTGGTCAATATTTGCATGCATCTCAAAGAGGATGGTAAGAAATGTTAACATCTGAGACTCTGTAGCAAAGAACTGACGAAGCAAAAAGGTCCAGTTTAATTTCACAGTATATAGGGATCATTTCTTCTCATGGTTGAGGAGGAGGAAAGGAAATTAATCCGATGGTTAATCCTTGAATGAGATCGTATTCAAGCAGCACGCACACAAGGAAATACGGTCCACACACACGCACACACACACACACACACACACACACACACTCTCCCATGCAAGTCCAGGGAAAAAGCTTTCACACACACTAACACACAGTCTTTGACACATGGCGCTCCACAGGACATGGTGAGATGAACTGGAGGTGACACCAAAGTGGGCTGCTTCTTGAGCGAGGCGTCTGATTGGCTGTTTGAGTGGTGGACCTGCCATCACACACTAACCATGCGTAAGCAGCACGCAAGGAAGCACTTCACATATGACATGTGTCACACAATAGGGTGGGGTTCCTAACACAGACCAAAATAGGATTTTGAATGGGAATCAATTGTTTCGTCTCCACAAGGATAGTGAAATGAATGTGTGTGTGTGTGTGTGTGTGTGTCTTGAGTATGAGCAATGCCATTTCTAACGTGTTACTGTGCCAATCTCACCCTGCCTAACAGAATGCAGTTCACCATGGTAACCAAGTCATTGAGTACAGAGAGAGAGAGAGCACTGACCTCAACCCAGAGTCTCTCAGAGCATGCACAGTCAGCCCACTGACACCCCTATCAGACCAAAATTACAGTCTACTTGAACAGAGCAATACTCAATCATGCATCAAAGCCAAAGGAACTGAATAATATTAAGAAATGCTATAGATGGAAGGAAAGTAGTGTGGAAACCTACCAAAAAACAATTAGGCAACAACAAATTCAATCCCTTTTAGACAACTTCCTGGACAAAACGTTCCACTGAAATTAGTGAAAATGTAAACTTGGCAGTAGAAAACCTAAACAGTGTATTTGACCTCTCAGCTTCCCTATCAAATCAAAAAATCTCTAACAGAGAAACCGAAGAAAAGTAACAACAATGACAAATGGTTTGATGAAGAATGCAAAAACCTAAGACAGAAATTGAGAAACCTTTCCAACCAAAAACATAGAGACCCAGAAAACCTGAGCGTACGCCTTCACTATGGTGAATCACTAAAACAATACAGAAATACACTACGGAAAAAGAAGGAACAGCATGTCAGAAATCAGCTCAATGTAATTTAAGAATCCATAGACTCTAACCACTTTGGAAAACACTCAACAAACAACAACACAAAGAGCTATCTATCCAAAACAGAGATGTATGGGTAAACCACTTCTCCAATCTTTTCTGCCCTATAACAAAGAACAAACAGCAAAAAATAAATACATGATCAAATGCATATCTTAGAATCAACTATTAAAGACTACCAGAACCCACTGGATTCTCCAATCACATTGAATGAACAACAGGACAAAATACAAACCCTCCATCCCAAAAAGGCCTGTGGTGTTGTTGGTATCCTCAATGAAATGATAAAATATACAGACCACAAATTCCAATTAGCTATACTTAAACTCATTAACATAATCCTCAGCTCTGGCATATTCCCCAATATTTGGAACCAAGGACTGATCACCCCAATCCACAAAAGTGGAGAAAAATTTGACCCCAATAACTACCGTGGGATATGCGTCAACAGCAACCTTGAGAAAATCCTCTGCATTATCATTAACAGCAGACTTGTACATCTCCTCAGTGAAAACAATGTACTGAGCAAATGTCAAATTGGTTTTTTACCAAATGACCATACGACAGATCACGTATTCACCCTGCACACCCTAATTGACAAACAAACAAACCCAAACAAAGGCAACATGCTTTGTTGATTTCAAAAAAGCATTTGACTCAATTTGGCATGAGGGTCTGCTATACAAATTGATGGAAAGTGGGGTTGGGGGAAAAACATACGACATTATAAAATCCATGTACACAAACAACAAGTGTGCGGTTAAAATTGGCAAAAAACACACACATTTCTTTCCACAGGGCTGTGGGGTGAGACAGGGATGCAGTTTAAGCCCCACCCTCTTCAACATATATATCAACAAATTGGTGAGGGCACTAGAACAGTCTGCAGCACCCGGCCTCACCCTACTAGAATCTGAAGTCAAATGTCTACTGTTTGCTGATGATCTGGTGCTTCTGTCACCAACCAACGAGGGCCTACTGTAGCACCTAGATCTTCTGCACATATTCTGTCAGACCTGGGCCCTGACAGTATATCTCAGTAAGACAAAAATAATGGTGTTCCAAAAAAGGTCCAGTTGCCAGGACCACAAATACAAATTCCATCTAGACACCGTTGCCCTAGAGCACACAAAAAACGATACATACCTCGGCCTAAACATCAGCGCCACAGGTAACTTCCACAAAGCTGTGAACGATTTGAGAGACAAGGCAAGAAGGGCCTTCTATGCCATCAAAAGGAACATAAAATTCGACATACCAATTAGGATCTGGCTAAAAATACTTGAATCAGTTATAGAACCGATTGCCCTTTATGGATGTGAGGTCTGGGGTCCGCTCACCAACAAAGAATTCACAAAATGGGACAAACAACAAATTGAGACTCTGCATTCAGAATTCTGCAGAAATATCCTCTGTGTACAACAAAAACACCAAATAATGCATGCAGAGCAGAATTAGGCCGATACCCGCTAATTATCAAAATCCAGAAAAGAGCCGTTAAATTCTATAACCACTTAAAAGGAAGCGATTCCCAAACCTTCCATAACAAAGCCATCACCTACAGAGAGATTAACTTGGAGAAGCAAGCTGGTCCTGGGGCTCTGTTCACAAACACAAACAGACCCCACAGAGCCCCAGGACAACAACACATTTAGACCCAACCAAATCATGAGAAAACAAAAAGAGAATTACTTGACACATTGGAAAGAATTAACAAAAAAACAGAGCGAACTAGAAAGCTTCTTGGCCCTAAACAGAGAGTACACAGTGGCAGAATACCTGACCACTGTGACTGACCCAAACTTAAGGAAAGCTTTGACTATGTACAGACACAGTGAGCATAGCCTTGCTATTGAGAAAGGCTGTCATAGGCAGAACTGTCTCTCAAGAGAAGACAGGCTATGTGCACACTGCCCACAAAATGAGGTGGAAACTGAGCTGCACTTCCTAACCTCATGCCAAATGTATGACCATATTAGAGACACATATTTCCCTCAGATTACACAGATCAACAAATAATTAGAAAACAAACCCAATTTTGATAAACTCCCATATCTACTGGGTGAAATACCACAGTGTGCAATCACAGCAGCAATATTTGTGACCTGTTGCCACAAGAAAAGTGCAACCAGTGAAGAACAAAAACCATTGTAAATACAACCCATATTTATGATTATTTATTTTCCCATTTGTACACATTGTTACAACACTGTATGTACAGTGGGGAGAACAAGTATTTGATACACTGCCGATTTTGCAGGTTTTCCTACTTACAAAGCATGTAGAGGTCTGTAATTTTTATCATAGGTACACTTCAACTGTGAGAGACGGAATCTAAAACAGAAATCCAGAAAATCACATTGTATGATTTTTAAGTAATTAATTTGCATTTTATTGCATGACATAAGTATTTGATCACCTACCAACCAGTAAGAATTCCGGCTCTCACAGACCTGTTAGTTTTTCTTTAAGAAGCCCTCCTGTTCTCCACTCATTACCTGTATTAACTGCACCTGTTTGAACTCGTTACCTGTATAAAAGACACCTGTCCACACACTCAATCAAACAGACTCCAACCTCTCCACAATGGCCAAGACCAGAGAGATGTGTAAGGACATCAGGGATAAAATTGTAGACCTGCACAAGGCTGGGATGGGCTACAGGACAATAGGCAAGCAGCTTGGTGAGAAGGCAACAACTGTTGGCGCAATTATTAGAAAATGGAAGAAGTTCAAGATGACGGTCAATCACCCTCGGTCTGGGGCTCCATGCAAGATCTCACCTTGTGGGGCATCAATGGTCATGAGGAAGGTGACGGATCAGCCCAGAACTACACGGCAGGACCTGGTCAATGACCTGAAGAGAGCTAGGACCACAGTCTCAAAGAAAACCATTAGTAACACACTACGCCGTCATGGATTAAAATCCTGCAGCGCACGCAAGGTCCCCCTGCTCAAGCCAGCGCATGTCCAG